ACCATTTTTCTCCGTTTCCTTCTCTCCCATGTCCTCCGTTATGGACTACACCAGCCTGCCATCGGGTTCGACAGGAAGTTAGAAATCGGTGGAACACTTGGATGGCTAGGAAGTTTTAGAAAAAACACACGCCACTTTTTTTTGTTTTGTTCCTTAGTTTTGGAAACACCCGGTGTTTAGGGCTGCCCTCGGGCTGGGAAGGAAGGACAGAGTAGTTGAGATTTGGAGGTGTGAGCTGTGGGTTGAGAGTTTGAGGCTCCACCCTTTTAAGAGGGTTCAGTGCCAGAGCAGAACTCCCCGGATGGGATGTGAGAGGCGTGCTCTGGGGTTCCAGACAGAGCAAAAGAGACACGCTACCATGTTTTCTTTTCTCGAAGGAAAAGACCTGAAATGAAAAGCTCCAGGCGGTTACCTAAGTCCCGGAACGGTGCCCGGGACACTTTTGCTGTGTCCACCTCTCTGCCTGGCGGAGAGGACCAGCCACACGCCCTGGGGAGGGGGCCCTGCAGCGAGTGCTTTCACACGCAGCTTGGGGGGTGAGGGTGAAGCAGGGGGAGAGCCAGAGATGGGCAGCCGGGCCGGCTCGGGGGCATTGGAGCTGTACGTGGCAGAGCTGTGTTGTCGGAGCATCTTGTTGGCTTTGCCGTCAGTGAAATGAACTTAGAATGGACACAGCCAGGTGGGAGGCGCAGGGTCTGGGGAAGGCTGCTCTGCCGTTGCCTGAGGACCAGGAAGGCAGAGCCCTAGGGAGATGGACATTTAGGACAGGACTAGAGGGAGGAGGAGCGAGAGCAGCAGCTGGACGATTTGGAACATGCCGCCCCGCTCTGCCCTGACCGCCCCGCTCTGTCCTGGCCGCCCCGCTCTGTCCTGGCCGCCCCGCTCAGCCCTGACCGCCCCGCTCTGCCCTGACCGCCCCGCTCAGCCCTGGCCGCCCCGCTCAGCCCTGACCTCCCCGCTCTGCCCTGACCGCCCCGCTCTGCCTTGGCCGCCCCACTGTGCCCTGACCGCCCCGCTCTGCCCTGACCGCCCCGCTCTGCCTTGGCCGCCCCACTGTGCCCTGACCGCCCCGCTCTGCCCTGACCGCCCCGCTCTGCCCTGACCGCCCCGCTCTGCCCTGACCGCCCCGCTCTGCCCTGACCGCCCCGCTCAGCCCTGACCGCCCCGCTCTGCCCTGACCGCCCCGCTCTGCCCTGGCCGCCCCGCTCTGCCCTGACCGCCCCGCTCTGCCCTGACCGCCCCGCTCTGCCTTGGCCGCCCCACTGTGCCCTGACCGCCCCGCTCTGCCCTGACCGCCCCGCTCTGCCCTGACCACCCCGCTCTGCCCTGACCGCCCCGCTCAGCCCTGACCGCCCCGCTCTGCCCTGACCGCCCCGCTCTGCCCTGGCCGCCCCGCTCTGCCCTGACCGCCCCGCTCTGCCCTGACCGCCCGCTCTGCCCTGACCGCCCCGCTCAGCCCTGGCCGCCCCGCTCTGCCCTGGCCGCCCCGCTCTGCCCTGACCGCCCCGCTCTGTTCTGACCGCCCCGCTCTGCCCTGACCGCCCCGCTCAGCCCTGGCCGCCCCGCTCTGCCCTGGCCTCCCCGCTCAGCCCTGGCCGCCCCGCTCAGCCCTGACCGCCCCGCTCAGCCCTGATTGCCCCGCTCAGCCCTGACCGCCCCGCTCTGCCCCGATCCCCCCGCTCTGCCCCGATCCCCCCGCTCTGCCCTGACCGCCCCGCTCTGCCCCGATCCCCCCGCTCTGCCCCGATCCCCCCGCTCTGCCCTGACCGCCCCGCTCTGTCCTGGCCGCCCCGCTCAGCCCTGACCGCCCCGCTCAGCCCTGACCGCCCCGCTCTGCCCTGGCCGCCCCGCTCTGCCCCGACCGCCCCGCTCTGCCCTGGCCGCCCCGCTCAGCCCTGACCGCCCCGCTCTGCCCTGATCCCCCCGCTCTGCCCTGACCGCCCCGCTCTGCCCTGACCGCCCCGCTCAGCCCTGACCGCCCCGCTCAGCCCTGACCGCCCCGCTCTGCCCTGACCGCCCCGCTCTGCCCTGGCCGCCCCGCTCAGCCCTGGCCGCCCCGCTCTGTTCTGACCGCCCGCTCAGCCCTGGCCGCCCCGCTCTGTTCTGACCGCCCCGCTCTGCCCTGGACCGCCCCGCTCTGTCCTGACCGCCCCGCTCTGTCCTGACCGCCCCGCTCTGCCCTGACCGCCCCGCTCTGCCCTGGCCGCCCCGCTCTGCCCTGGCCGCCCCGCTCTGCCCTGGCCACCCCGCTCTGCCCTGGCCGCCCCGCTCTGCCCTGGCCGCCCCGCTCTGCCCTGACCGCCCCGCTCTGTCCTGGCCGCCCCGCTCTGTTCTGACCGCCCCGCTCTGCCCTGGCCGCCCCGCTCTGTTCTGACCGCCCCGCTCTGCCCTGACCGCCCCGCTCTGCCCTGGCCGCCCTGCTCTGCCCTGGCCGCCCCGCTCTGCCCTGGCCACCCCGCTCTGCCCTGGCCGCCCCGCTCTGCCCTGGCCGCCCCGCTCTGCCCTGGCCGCCCCGCTCTGCCCTGGCCGCCCCGCTCTGTTCTGACCGCCCCGCTCAGCCCTGACCGCCCCGCTCTGCCCTGACCGCACGGCACAGGAGCCCCGCCCAGCGGCTCGGCCTCAGAGCCACAGCGGCCACCGAGGGTTGGTGACCTGTGGCTCCGCTGAGCCGCCCCGAGCTGATCGGGAAGGAGTCACGTCCAAGGTTGGCCTGCCTGCCTCTATGCTTAGTGCCCAGCGAGGGACAGAAGACGCGGGGAAAACTGCTCTGCCGTGGCGAGCGAGGACCCACACTGCCCCTTATGTGACCGACGATCAACCACCCGTGTGCGTGCGTGTGTGTGTGTGTGTGTGTGTGTGTGTGTGGTAGGTAACAGTACTGATATGTTCGCAGAATAATGGGAAGCAGATGGGTCACAACTGTTTTGAAGTAAAAAGTCTCTGAAGTTTATTTCGGCTCCTTAATGACAGGGGAGCTGGGAGGCAGGCGTGTGGGTTCAGAGTGTGGTTACGTGCTGGCATGGTGCTGGGCTGTGCCCATGCTGCCAGAGGGGAGGGACAGGGTGGGGACCGGGCTATGTCTTCAGGGCCCACCTTGGGCCTCCCTCCCTCCCTTCCTTCCTCCCTTTTTCCCTTCCTTTCTTCCTTTTTCCCTCCCTCCCTCCCTTCCTTCCTTCCTCCCTTCCTTCCTTCCTTAATTCCTTTCTTCCCTCCTGCTTTGTTTGTTAATCCTCACAGAAGAGTCTTTTTCCATTGGTTTTTAGAGCGAGTGGAATGGAGGGAGAGACCAAGAGAAACATCTATGTGAGAGAGTCACATCAATTGATTGCCTCCTACACACACCCTGACCAGGGCTGGGGGACCTGCACCCGGGTATGTGCCCTTGACCAGAATCGAACCCAGGACCCTTCAGTCTGCTGGCCAGCATTCTACGCACTGAGCCAAACCAGCCAGGGCCCTCTGGGCGTTTCTTTAAGCAGCGACGTGAGGCCAGTGTTCGCACAGAATGGGTAGGGGGACCTCGAGGGTGTGCCCGCGACCAGCCCCATTTCCCGGCGCTGGGCGCTGTGATTTGGTGAAGCTTCCCGGCATTCTGGAGTCAGGGCTCTGGAGACCTGGAAGCAGCGCAGTCCCTTCGAGCCTTTCCGTTAGATTCTAACGTGCTCTCCGCTGGGTGAACTGGGCCCAGTTTGGGGGACAACAGTGAAGTGTTTCTGTCTGTGACAGACAAGGAAAAACACGTGCTCAAGTTGGGGGTTTTGACTTCATGTCAACCCATGGCAGGGCCTGGCAATTTCTGAAGCCGTGTGTGTGTGTGTGTGTGTGTGTGTGTGTGTGTGCACGCGCACACACATTTATTCACGGTGGTTTTGCTGTGATTTTTAAGTGATTCCACGGGAAGGGCTTAGGGCGTGCTGGCTCCCGGTCACTGATGCTGTTTGAGTGCTGCCGTTCGGTCTGGTGGCCATGCCCCTGCTTGCCTGCCCGGAGTGGCCCCATCACCCCAGCTTCTCTTCCTGCTCACTGATGATTAGGTGCAGGCATTTTCCCTAATGAAGTGCATGTGGTCAACATGCCGTTCCGTTAAGCTGGAGGGAGCAAAGGGCATCCTGAGTTTAGAGGAGGGGTGTCCGCAGGAGGCCTGGCAGCCTTCCTGGACCGGAGGCCTTGGCCGTCCTCGGGGCTGGGACTGAATGAGACCCAGACCCGGGGCAGAACCTCGCTCCACTCACCCGGGGACCGTACAGCTTCCGTCACTGGTGAGGACATAGGCCTGGATGTCGCTTAGCGATGGTGAGGTCAGCTCTTGGGTATTTTGGGCCATTTTTCTCACGTTTGAACACATTTTTGTCCTCATTATTTTGAAACTCCATTCCGGTTGTGAACGTGAGATGTAACATCTCCCTCCTGGGTCCTCTGAGTTGACCCGATGCTAATAAGTGGAGCCATAAACAGAGCATGTGCGTTGCATAGTGTACAGTGTGAGAGACGAGACATCAGAGCCATTTGGCTCATGGAACATGCATGGGGAAAGGTGACATGGGCCATGCAGAGCAGATGCTATGTGTTAACTATCAGAATCGGCAGGAAACGGAGTGGATGTCTCATCATTCTATCTGAAGCACATCAACGGGCCCTGAAGGGACCTAGTGATAGTGAGCTGCACCCTAAGGTTACATGTTGCTACATGTGATGACCAGGTGATAGTGAGCTGCGTACTAAGGTTACATGTGATGACCATGTGATGGTGAGCTGCGTCCTAAGATTACATGTGGTTATATGGGATGACCACATGACAGTGAGCTGCATAGTAAGGTTGCATGGGATTATGTGTGATGACCATGTGATAGTGAGCTGCATCCTAGGGTTACATGTGGTTACATGGGATGACCACATGTCCGTGAGCTGCACCCTAAGGTTACATGTGCTTACATGTGCTTACATGGGATTACCACGTGGCAGTGAGCTGACCCTAAGGCCTTGTTTCCATCGCCCCACAGCTTTGCCCTGTCGGATGAAGCCTACCGGTCCCTGCGAGACCAAGACAAGGACCAGTGCATCCTCATCACCGGGGAGAGCGGAGCTGGAAAGACAGGTAAGACCACTGGTCAGCCCCCCTCGCCACGCGAGGGCGAGTGTCGCAGGGAGTGCGCCGCTCGCTGGGCCGCGCGGCACCTTTGCCACAGGCTCTGGGTCTCGGGCTGCTTGCCTGAGAGAGGCCGGGTCCTCGCGCTCCAGGAGGCCCCAGCCACGGCTCCTCTCTGCCCGAGGTGACATGGGCCACGCAGAGCAGATGCTGTGTGTTAACTATCAGAATTGGCAGGAAGCCCACAGAACTGAGAGTTTTGCGTGTAACGTTAGGTGGGCTGTCTGTATTTTCAGTGTGATGACAAAGATTAGGTGCAAAATGTTGTGGAAAGAGACAGGAACCTCTGCATATATTTTGGAGGGATCTTGCTTTTCCCGTGTGCTTGTACTGAAAGCAGTGTGGGTGATGGATGGCCGGAGTGGGAGGTGGTTGTACGCGGGCCCGGCGAGCTGGAGAGGGTTGGGCAGAGCTGCCCCGGAGCGCACCCTGCAGGCTCCCCCTGCCGCTGTCCTCTCCTGCGCGGGGCTGAGGGCCCAGGAAGGAGGAAGCGGGTGGGGAGGGGGCGGGGAGGGAGATGGTGGCTGCATGTCCATGTCATCTTCCACACGCTCTCTTAAAATTACAGTCACAGACACGTTGCGCTAGTTTCAGGTGTGCATCCTCGTGCTCCTACCTGTGTGAACCTCACGGTGTCGTCACCTCTGCACATCGCTGCCTCATTCACCGGGCAGAGCTGTGCGGAGCTGGCTGCACCCCAGGGCGGGATCACAGGTCCCCGTGGCTTATTTACAGCGTGCGCTTGTGTTATGGCTGAGACGGGTCGTTAGTCAGTTCTGCTGGTTTGCCAAAGTGTGATTGAAATGTTTCCACTTTCTTGGCTATTTCGTTGTCAGATTAATAGCCTTGATTTCCACTGGCCTGGCGTGGCTCAGTGGTTGAGTGCTGACCTGTGAGTCAGGAGGTCAGGGCACATGCCCGGGTTGCAGACTCCATCCCCAGTAGGAGGCAGCCTACCCACGGCTCTCTCTCATCATTGATGTTTCTCTCTCTCTCTTCCTCTCCCTTCCTCTGTGAAATCAATCTTCTTAGATAATGGCTAATATTCAAATTGTCCCCTCAACTGGGAATTCAAACGGAAGTTTGACCAGGGGGTGGGACCTGCCTACCAACTGTCCTCGGCCCCCGATTAGCCCCAATCAGGGTGGGCAGGCCAGACCCCACCCGTGCACAAATTTGTGCACCGAGCCTCTAGTAAAAATATATTCAATAATAATAATAATAATAATAATAAAGAATAAACGGTTGCACCTCCCCACGCCCCACCCTGTGCTTTCTTCGGATCTGGTTGAACCCATTTGTTCCTAAGTGAGTCATCGGTGTGGGCTCCGGCCACGGGTTTTGATGGATTTTGGCAGTTGCTCCTCTAGGGACCATATGCGCCAAGAAGACAGCGTAGCCACTAATTGGCCACGTCGGCGACCTCCTCCTTCTGGGAGAGTCGAACAGTGCTTCCTCGAGGAGGGAGGGCCCGTCTCCTGTTGGCTCCGGATCTGCCTATGGAAAAACTCAGAGGGGCCTGCTGGGACCGTGCCAGAGGGTTGGCATTCATTCATCCTTTTGTTTTTTGTTCTTTTTTGCTTTGTTTTGTTAATCCTCTCGGGAAGATATTCCCCCCCCCCCCCATTGATTTTAGAGAGAGGCAGGGGAGAGAGGAGAGAGAAACATTGATGTGAGAGAGCCACATCACTTAGTTGCTTCCCACTCGTGCCCCAACTGGGGTGGGGAACCTGCAACCGGGGTACGTGCCTTGACCGGACTCGAACCCCCGGCCCTTGGGTTCGTGGGCTGACGTTTATTGAGGGCCCGGTATGTGCTCGGCACTTTGCCTGGCATTCCTCCTTTCAAGTAGCAGCGTTACTAAGCGCTTGCGTCACCCTGTGGCAGCGGAGGGCTTATTTTATAAGAAGTGCCCGCTTCACCGGGTCGAGAGCCGATGCTGTCATCGGTCTTCAGTGCTGGAGACGCTCTTACCTGCAGGGTATGTGCTTTGACACACAGGGAGACGGGTGAGCGTGTGGGGGTTCTCTGGGCCCCGTTTATTTCAGGATCGCTGAGCTAAGTAAAACATTCCCTGAGGCCCAGTCGGCGCGGCGCAGCGGTCGAGCATTGGCCTACAAACCAGGAGGTCGCGGTTTGATTCCCAGTGAGGACACGGGTCCTGGGTTGCGGGCTCGATCCCCAGTGTGGGGCTTGCAGGAGGCAGCGGTCCATGGTTCTCTCTCCTCACTGATGCTTCTGTAAGAGTGCCCACCTAGCTCTAGGCAGTGAGCTCCCAGTTTTCCACTGTGAATGCAAAGCGCTTGCTTTTCTCGAGCCCTGATGGGGCGGGGAGGCGGAACATGGAGAGCCATCCCCATGCGGTTCCGAGGATATCCGAGGGCTTGGGAAGGTGATCCTGACGCAGGAACACACACACACCATGCTGTTTCTAACCTCACAGCCGCTTCCGTTTCCACGCACCCCAGCCACCGCGCACAGCGCTAGGGAGCCGCCCGCCTGCCTCGCTCAGGACGGCCTTTGCTCCCAGCCCCGACCCGCCTGCGCTCCGTCGCCGCAGCTCTCTGCCCGTCGCTGAGCGGTGTCGCCGGCTCACGGTGGCCGCAGCACACGCGTGTTCAGGCGGCGCATCCCTCCGGGAGAGCTGAGCGAGCACAGGCCAGGGCACACGGGCAAGGCCACGCCTGTGGAGCTGCTGTTCAGTGAACACTTTGCCAGTCACGACCCCCTTGGCGTAGAGGCTGCGCTTCTCATGGCCAGACCCCTGCTGTCACCACGAAGGGACCAGCGGGCGCTGCCTGCGGGCGGGTCGCTATGCGGGCGCTGCTGCGTCATCTGCCGCACAGAGGCCTGGGGACTGCCGGGGGCGTCCTTCCAAGCTGCAGAGTCTGTTCTCGTTGCACACAAACAGGCCTCGTTGAATGGGCGGTCTCATTCTTTTTTTCCTTTTTTAAAAAATCTTTATTAATGGGGTATCCCTTTTTCTCTCCCCATTGACCCCTTCTAGCCTGCCCCCATCCCAGGCCTTCACCACTATATTATTTGAACACAAGGTCTTTGGTTGATCAATTTTCACCCTCCCACCCTCCCCGCCTTCCCTCTGAGGTTCCTACATCTATCCCATGCTTCCATGTCTCTGGATCCACTCCGCTCAGCAGTTTATTTTGTCCATTAGATGCCACATATGGGGGAGATCATGTGATACTTGTCTCTCTGACTCAGCAGCCTCATTCTTTAGGAAACTGGACCACCAGACCTGGGCAAGCTGGGTCCCTAGAAAACTTTCGGCATCTTAACGGAGGAAGAGAGAGTTAGAAACACCGATGAGAGAGAAACATTGATCAGCTGCCTCCTGCACACCTCCTACTGGGGATGTGCCCGCAACCAAGGTACATGCCCTTGACCGGAATCGAACCTGTGACCCTTCAGTCCGCAGGCCGACGCTCTATCCACTGAGCCAAACTGGTTAGGGCTGCTCAGTGTTTTAATTGAGTTGAAGAGTAATCAATTTATTCTGATTGTGAGCAAGCCCGTTTGGTTTAGAACAGCCCTTTAAACATTTTAAAATATATTTGGTAAGAGTAGGGTTACCAAGTTGTCATGGGCTTGAATCAACGTGTATGATAGAGTCATGTTACGAGAAAGGCCGCTTTAAGGAGACAGTCCCCCTGGGGTGTTGTGGATTGGTTAGCGGCCCGGGGTGCCGTAAGCACAGTATCCGTTAGAGCTAATTCAGGCCTTGTTCTTGAAGAGGAAGGACACTTATTACAAAAGATTTCCAAGGCGCTACATCCTCCCAGGTGGACAGGCATCCGAAACACTGTTGGTGGGTTTTGTCTTCCCAATTCCTCCCTCTAAATTTCTCCTTTTCTAATGTCAGCTTCATGTGCTAACCTGGCTTCCTTTCACCCACAGAAGCCAGCAAGCTGGTCATGTCCTATGTGGCGGCAGTGTGCGGGAAAGGGGCGGAAGTCAACCAAGTCAAGGAGCAGCTTTTACAGTCCAACCCGGTCCTGGAAGGTAGGCCTCCCTGTGTGCGGGGTCGGTGTGCATGGACCGCGGCTCTGGTGTTCAGGCCATGCAGAGCCCTGGGGACTACAGCCGCCCGGTCAGAATCCCTGCTTAGGAGAGTTGTTTGGCTCAACCCTTTGTTCAAAGCCGTAGACGGTCAAGATTTAACGTGTTTAAAACGCAGGGCTGCTTTGGGTTGGGGGAGGGAGGGAGAGGTACCCCCAGTGTAGTAACCCCTACATTGCCAGGCCTCTCCCTCTTCTTCCACTTTATCACCAGGAGATGCCATGCATCCTTATCCCCCAGATGTTGGGATAAGTCACCAATATACCTTGACTTGGTGAAGAGCAGAGACTGAAACATGTATTCTATTGTTATCGGTGGTTCTTTCCCCTTAGTCACTTAGCACACAAAGTTCTGGATCTCTCTTATTCCCGTATGATGGGACTTGTGTAGTCCCCGCCCTCTGCCTTTACGTTCGGGGGCTGCCCGTGTGGTTGCGTGTTTGTTCTGAGAATGCCGCAGCCGCAGGGAGCAGCTCCGTGGACGCCGCCGCCGTCCGCCTCTGTGATTGGAATCCGGCCCCTGAGCCGATGGCGTTGGGAACGAGGCCCCGAGCAGGAAATGGGGGGAAGGCCTCTGTGGGCACGCACTCTCTTGGATCCCAGCTGGAGCTGCTCCTGGAGACAGACATCTAGAACAATTGCTCTTGGGGAAACAATGCTCTCAGAGGAATGCGTCTCCAGTGCCTGAGAGGGAGCCCTTGTCTTTGCGTCTGTGGCCCACGGTCAAAGACGCCAGTGTTCCGAGCTGTGCTCAGCAATGTGCCGCTCAGACTTGTGTGATGAAAAGAGGGCTTATGGCCTGCAAATGCCGCCCTGAGTAAAGTTTTTTTGAAGCAATTCCTTCACTCGCCCTTGACCTTCACGCCACAACACACTGCCTTTTATGCATCGGCATCTGGAGCTGGACCTCAGGGCCGTGCAAGTTGGTTCACTTGGCACCTCGACATGGTGACACCCACCAGGAAGGACGGGCCCGTGAAAACCCAAGACTGTGTCCGGTCCTCCCGGACCCTGGGCCGCACTCACTCGCCGTTCTTGAGGTGGCCTTGACGGCCGTCCGGCCTTTCTGCGGGGCGGACACGGGATGGAAGTGCGGACCGCGGTCAGCATCCTTTCTGGGGTGTTTCCTGTGTCAGGCTTCTTCGCTCAGCATAGCGCCTCAGTCTGCTTTATGTTAGAGAATTCGGCGTCGGGGACCTGCCACCCCACACCCGCCCCAAGCGGTGTCTCTGCCCTGAGAACTGCCCTGCTGACTTTGTGAACTTTGCCTTAACTGAAGAGGACTCACCTTTTTTCCTTTTTTTAAAATATATTTTATTGATTTTTTACAGAGAGGAAGGGAGAGGGATAGAGTTAGAAGAGAGAAACATCGATCAACTGCCTCCTGCACACTTCCTACTGGGGATGTGCCCGAAACCAAGGAACATGCCCTTGACCGGAATCGAACCCAGGATCCTTCAGTCCACAGGCTGACGCTCTATCCACTGAGCTAAACCGGTTTCTGCAAGGACTCACTTTAAAATAAATAAATAAATAAATAAATAAATAAATAAATAAATAAACAAACAAACATTTTAAAAGCCAGCGAATGTGCCCTGACCGGTTTGGCTCAGTGGATAGAGCATCAGCCTGTGGACTGAAGGATCCATCCAGGGCACATCCCTGGGTTGTGGACTCAGTCCCCATAAGTCGTGTGCAGGAGGCAGCCGATGAGTGATTGTCTCTCATCATTGATGTTTCTATCTCTCTCTCCCTCTTCCTTCCTCTCTGAAATCAACAACAACAACAAAAAATATTTTAAACAATAGAAATAAAAAGCCAGCTAATGCGAGATACATTGGGTTTGGCTGCTGAATATTCAAAGTGAACTTGAACTTGAACACTCACTTCCTTGCCTGGTCCTGAGGTTGCTTTCAACACTCGGACCAGTTTTACAGCCTGAGTTACCATGTGAGCTCATGCTGCTCCAGTTATCTTCTCTCCGCTGGATTGAATGAGGTGATGGAAGCTTCCAGAGATGTAATGCTGGTCTCTCCGTCTGGACATTCACTTCTGCTCACACGTCATCGTGCTCAGTCTTGCCAGCTGCCGTGTGGCCCACGGATCCCAGTTAACAGCTGAGGGACCGGCGGAAACGCAGAATGTCATGCCCTCATCTGCTGGATCCAAGTCTGTGCCTTTGCAAGATCCCTAGGCCAGTGGTCAGCAAACTCATTAGCCAACGGAGCCAAATATCAACAGTACAGTGATTGAAATTTCTTTTGAGAGCCACATTTTTTAAACTTAAACTTCTTCTAACGCCACTTCTTCAACATAGACTCGCCCAGGCCGTGGTGTTTTGTGGAAGAGACACACTCAAGGGACCAAAGAGCCGTATGTGGCTCGCGAGCCGCAGTTTGCCGACCATGGCCCTAGGCCATGGATGTGCACATTGGAGTGTGAGGCGCACGGTGGGGGGGGGGGGGGGGGGCTTCCAGACCATGGGACAGGGGTCCTGTCTGCTTACACGGCACATTTACTTAGTCTCCCCTGCTTGTACTCAGTGTGTGAAGCAGTCCTTTTACCTTATGACATTGTGAGCCCCTGTGCTCAACAGAACACGGTATGCCCGGATGGCATCCACCTGTGGTTCTTAGGTGTCCTCATTTCAAAGGGGCCTGTGGGGGAACTCGGCTCTGAAGCAGTGGAGATTGGAACCCACTTGGATTTTGAGTCTTGGGCCAGTTTGGCTTTCTTATTTTATTATATATATACTAGAGGCCTGGTGCACCAATTCATGCACCGGTGGGGTCCCTCGTCCTGGCTTACAGAGATTGGGCTGAAACGGGCTCTCTGATATCCTCCAAGGGGTTCTGGATTGCAAGAGGGCACAGGCCAAGCTGAAGGACCCCATTGGTGCACAACTGGACTGCAGGAGGCAGCCAGTCAATCATTAATCTCATCCAATCCCTGTCGGCCGGACCCCAGCAGCAAGCTAACCTACCAGTCAGAGCATCTGCCCCCTGGTGGTCAGTGCGCATCATAGTGACTAGTGGAACAGTCAGACACTTCTCATATTAGACCTTTATTATATAGGATGTATTATTGATTTAGAGAGGGAGAGAGATAGAAACGTCAAGAATGAGAGAGAAGCATGGATCAGCTGCTTCCCACATGCCCCCATTCTGGGGATCAAGCCCACAGTCTGGGCATGTGACTTGACTGGAAGTCCAACCATGAGTTCTTTGTTCATAGGTCAATGCTCAACCCCTGAGCTGGGCTTGGCTTTCTTTACATTCTAGAGAGTTTCACTTAGGTGTGAGGGGCATGTTTAGCCTATTGGCAAGGATGTTAGTTTTTTAATCTCTTCGTCTTTCTGTTATAAATAGCTTGACTCCAAACTAATTTAGCAATTTAAAGCTTCTCGGGGCCTTATTTAACCTGGAGACCTCAGCAAGCTCCACAACACTTTTGGCAATCTCCAGTAGTAGTTATCACCGAAATGACCCTATTCGCCGAGGATAATGGTGAAGGGCTCAGAAGCCGTGCCTGCTAGCCACCCCATCCCCTGCTGTCAGCACGGTTACGAGATCCTGAGTCAAACGAGATTGAGTTACAGTAATAACTGGGGGGAAATTCCATGATTCATAGGAATGACATTCTTTTTCTATGGACTTAAAAGACACGGGAGCTTTAGTAGACTTCTGTTAAGTGTGCTTCTGTGGAAATTTTAGACATTTGTAAGTTCTAGGATTTATAAATGGCAAGTATGATGGCTGCTTTATCTTTCTGTGGGACATGCCTTCCTGTGCATTTAACCATGCACCAATCCCTTTCTTCCTAGCTTTTGGAAATGCCAAGACCGTCAGGAATGACAACTCCTCTCGATTTGTAAGTATTTGTAAAGCACAAGTGTTAACACTAATATTTAGCTCGTGCATGTGTAAACAGCCAGGAGATGTTTAATATTTCTTAATAAGCACATTGAACAACAAGAACACCATTGCTATTGAAACACGGAGAGTTTTATATGGATGGTTGTTGGCTTTCTGGAATTTCCCTTTTTTCATTCTTGGAGTGACAAGCTATTTTTGTTTTTCGTGTTTTCTCATCGCCTATCCTAAGATTCCATGAGCAATTTGAATGAGGCTATTTAGAATAACTCTTCACTTGTCTAAATTTTGGTATTTAGAAATCATAATTAAGAATCAGAAATTAAGTAGAAGGAGGGAGAAACCCAGTTTGTATGCTGCACCGGTTTTGTCCTTTACACAGTGATACCAGGACGGAAGGAGGTGAATTCTAAAGCTCAAGAGAGCCGGTCACTAGGATTGGCAGCTAATGGGGGCGGGGAGAGAAGGCTGAACAATAGAAGCTGAAGCCAATTGTTGCTTGGCATGGGGCTGAGTTAGAAAATGCTGATCCTGCTGAGAGAACTTTCCTGCTTCGTCTCCCCTCATCTCTGCATGACTGCACATCTGCCTACAGGCCTCTCCAGCTGAGCCCCACCCTGCCCCGGCCCACCTCGGGTTTTTCCTGGAGGCAGCAGGGGGAGCATGCTGAGTGTGAGGCTAGCACTTTGAAATTGCTTCCTTCTTTTTATTTATTCACTGACTGGTTTTAGAGAGGGAGAGGGAGAGAGAAGCATTGACTGGCTGGCCCACTTACTTATGCACTCATTCTGGTGTGTGCCCTGACTAGACACAAGCCCAAAACCTTGGTGTATTGGGACGATGCTCTCTCTAACCAATGGATTAACCCGGCCAGGACTTGAAATCGGTTCCTTTTTTTCTAGTTTAACGAGTTTTAAAGATCATTGACTTGATAAGCTCTCTTCTTGTACACGACTCTGGACCCATTCTGATTTTTGACGCCTCTTTGCCGCAGACCCTGCCTGCCCTTCCCCTTCCCTTCGTCAGCTCCTCTGGCTGTTCCCCCTTGGGTTCCAGTGCTCCGGGCGGGAGCGTGGCCTCCGAGGAGAGGGTTGATGGCTTGGACAGCGGAAGGCTCTGCCTTTTTCCCGTTGGATTAGCCCTGCCCGCCCTGCTGTGGAAACATGGCTAATCTCATTACACAAATAGAAGGGGCAGCCCCAGGAGCGTGGGCAGAGAGAGGTCCTTCCAAGAGATCACGCTGCTTTGTGGAGGTCTTGTGTTTGGCTTTTTTGCAAACGACACACGCTTTACAAAAAACATGTGCAAATACACTTAGTCCACAGACCTTAAATTTCAAGAAAACCACGTTGCTCCAGAGTCTTGACTATTTGTGACATTTGAGCGCTGCTTGAAGGCTTGGCTTATTAAGTAAACTCAGAGAAATCCTAATGTAACAAAGGTGGCAGGATATGAAATTAATACTGGATTATAGGCTAAATCATTCACGCCCAGCTTTTTAGTAATTTCTCTACTTGTGTGCAAAGGGACCATCTATAGCCGTGTTTATGACTCATGGAAATTGCATTTCCTTTGACAGCATGTGATGGGTTAACCCAGAATGAACTTCTCTCTTTTTTAATCCTCACCCGAGGATATTTTTCCATTGATCTTTAGAGAAAAGGAAAGGGGGGCTGGGGGAGAGGAACAGCGATGTGAGAGAGAGACGTGAACTGGTTGCCTCCTGCTGAGCCCTACCGGGACTGGAGATCAGACCTGAGACTGAGGCCCGTGCCCTTGACCAAGAATTGAATCCGCTACCCTTCAGTCCATGGTCCAACGCTCTACCCACTGTGCAAACCAGCCAGAGCTAGCATGACCTTCTCCATCTCTTCACAGAGGTACTTGGTCGACCCTGTGGTGGTCTCCTAGGCATGCTCTCACTTCAGAACAGCGTTCCCACGGATCGGCTGCATTCTTGGGCTTTTGAATCCTCTCTGACCTTGTGCACCGACCCAGGACCTGTCATGGCGACCTGCCGCCTCACTCTCTGCTCTGTTTATTTTCCCCTTTTGCTACGACTCCTGCTTAAAGCCGCTCACGTTTCTCCCCGATGACTGCCACCTCCTGTCAGACACCGGGCCTGGTTTTCTTCCAGTCCATTGCACACCAGCCGGAGTGGTCTTGTCAGGAGGCCAGTGTGGCTGTGGCATCCTTGTTTGGGAACCTTTATGACCCGGCGGGGCTGTCAGGCGCACATCTCAATGTCACGGTGGGCTTCTGCATCCCGTCCCATCCTCTAGGACAGTGGTCGGCAAACTCATTAGCCAACGGAGCCAAATATCAATAGTACAACAATTGAAGTTTCTTTTGAGAGCCACATTTTTTTAAGCTTAAACTTCATCTAGTGCCACTTCTTCAATACCACTTCACGGCCACTCGCCCAGGCTGTGGTATTTTGTGGAAGTGCCACATTCAAGGGACCAAAGAGCCGCATGTGTCTCAAGAGCCACAGTTCGCCGACCACGGCTTTAGGAGGCCAGCTCTGACGCCTGCTCCTTCCTCCTCCCCCTCCTTGCCTGCCTAGCCTCTGGCGCTGAGGCAGACTTCCTGCTTCTCCATGGCCCCTTCTCTGCAGGGGACTAGGACTCACCGCAGGCAGGAGGCACCCCATGCACTGTACAGTCCTGTGTCTCTCTCTCCAGCCCCCGAGGCCAAGAGGTCTGAGGACAGCAGCTGGGCCTTGGTTTCCCTGCTAACTACTTTTATAGACCTTTATAGGCCTTTACTTCATGACTATTCAGCCAGGCCTTTTTTTTTTTTTTTTAATGTTTTTTAATGTTTTTTATTGATTTCAGAGAGGAAGGGAGAGGGAGAGATAGTAGAAACATCAATGATGAGAGAGATCATTGATCGGCTGCCTCCAGCACGCCCCCTACTGAAGATTGAGCTCGCAACCCGGGGCCTTTTCGTCCGCAGGCTGATGCTCTGTCCACTGAGCCAAACTGTCTAGGGCTGTGAAGTCTTTAAAAGGGCACAAGACCCAGGATAACGGGAAGGAGAAGGCAGGAATGTGTGAGCTAAGAAAGAGTCACCAGTGGCTCTGTGGACTGGGTGCTGGGCGATCCTGTGTCCTCGCCCTCCCCTCGATTTCGCAAATAGAAAGGAGTGTCAGTCATTCTTTGGGAGAGTGGTTTACCAACCATCTCTCTGGCTCTTAGGAAGGTAGAACACCAAAGCCTCCTTCTTCGACCACCACACCCTTTTCCAAACAAAAAGCAGCTGTCGGAGCCATTCTCTATTCCTGGTTACTCTTTAACCAGGCAGTGACAGAGCAGTTCTGGGAAAATGACCCTGTGAAACGCCACGTGTGCTTCCCCGTGTTTAACACGCTGTCTATAAAGTATAACACGAAACTGGCCGTATAAGGCTGTGTCATCTAGATCAAAGCCAGTCGCCCACGTGGTCCTGTATTTGATTTGAATTAGATATAGAAACAATACTTTAAGTGTCCCCCCTCTGGCCCCGTGTGTGTGTGTAGTTTCTAGCCATGGCTTACGCATATTTTTGCCTATAAAAATGAACTGATTTATCTTCCACATGAATGCATATGCCAGGGATACGTATTTCCCGCGGTTTTATTGTTGAATGGAAGACACACACCCTCCATAATTTGAAACATACCTGAAAGTGGGAAATTTACATGATGGCCGAGATGATCTGCTCTTGGATCAGCAATGGGATATGGTAGTTTGGAGCGAATGGGGTATTTAATGTGAATTATTCCTGGAGGCATATTGTTGTGCGTCATGGTTACATAAACGGTGTCTTAATTACATTTAAACAAACGCAGAAAGGGCTTACGCCACTGCTGTTCTCTAAGAGGGTGCTGCGCTGGCTGAGTATTGAGAGGCGATCTTGAAAGCTGACCAAGTCTTTCTTTGGCAGGGCAAATACATGGATATCGAGTTCGACTTTAAAGGTGACCCCCTGGGAGGAGTGATCAGTAACTGTGAGTATTTTATCTGAATTCCTTTAAAGAAGTTTAGAATAGTAAAGCATGTGTTTAAAATGGAATATTGTCGATACATGCGTCTTTAAGAGATGGGTGTAAGACTACATCTTTGTATACTGCTTAGACTTTTAACCTATAGGTTTCAAGTTGTCTTCTATAATTTTAAGTATTTTTTAAAGGCGGCATAATCTTTTCCTTTGAAAAACTTTTTAGGAGTCTGCTAAAGAAATGGGTATTAGTCCAACTGTATTTTATTACTGTAGACCCTAAGCCAGTCCAGTAATAAAGAAGATTCTCCGACGGTTATTCTATTTAACAAACCTCAGCCCTACTCGAGACTAGGGGAACGCCAGTGGGTAGGTAGTGTTTGTTGTTTTTAAAAAATATATATTTTATTGATTTTTGCAGAGAGGAAGGGAAGAGGGATAGAGAGTCAGAAACATCGATGAGAGAGAAACACTGATCAGCTGCCTTCTGCACACCTCCTACTGGGGATGTGCCCACAACCAAGGTACATGCCCTTAACCAGAATTAAACCTAGGACCCTTCAGTCCACAGGCTGACGCTCTATCCATTGAGCCAAACCGGTTTAGGGCAATACACGTTTTTTAAAATGAGGATACGCTTGCTGTTTTCCTTATGGAACTTAACACCAATGTGTTGTGATTCTGAAATGATCGATTCAATACTCCTTTTGAGGGCGCTGGGAAAACATGTAAGGATTACTTTCTTACCTTCTTTCTTACAAGGATTAGACAGTAACGTGGGTCTTACGTCTTGAAGTGTGAGCTCCACAGACATGTCTGCCCGCCCTCCCGTTGTTGGGTATCCATGGAGAATAAACACGAAACCCTCAGTTCTTTTCCAGGGAGGATTACTGTGTCCTCGCGAATGGGTTTCATGTGGTGCTGGTTACTGTTTGTTCCCACAAGGAAGTTGCCTTGAAGTTTGTGGTAATGGGAACACCCTGGTATTTTGGAGGATCCTTTTCTGGGGAGAGGAAAGGGGTCCATTAGTGGTGAGAGCAGGAGACTTCGCTCTGCGTAGATGGGCTGACTCAGAGGGGGTCACGGGGAGCTGCGGCCCTGGGGACCAGGGTGAGGAGCTGGGCAAACCCCTCCTGTTCTCTCCAAACTGCCCAAAGCCAGCATCAAACTTGAAAAGAAGACAAGACCCGCCAGGTTGCGGGAAAGCCTATTTTGCCTCCTTGTCCGGCCGCCGCTGAGTGAGAACAGGTTGGTGGCTGTGACAGTGACCCCGGGAAGGGCACAGGCCGTGGGCCCAGGGAGTAGAAAAGAAAGCCATTCGCGGGTTCTCTTCCCGGAGGAGGCGGGCTGTGCCACGGTCTCACCTGAAGCCGAGAGCATGGCGGAGGGACTGTCATGAGGAGACGGGTGTAAGACGGTCATTATCTCAAATGACCAGTAAGACAAACATCTGGTCATTTGAGATAAAATACGGGAGCATGCCCAGATGTTTGGTTGGTGGGAGATAATATTTCTTTAAGAAAATGCTTTTGTTGATTTCAGAGAGGAAGAGAGAGGGGGAGAGAGAGAAGCCTCAGTGAGGAGAGAGCATCACGGATCGGCTGCCTCCTGTGAAGCACACATGTCCATGTGTTTCTGGGGCCTGCATCCTTTCCGCTGGGAAATTATAAAGAGCAGGCTGAGCAGAAAGCCTTCGCCACCACAGCACTGAAGCCTGGCTCTGTGGCTTGGTAACCGTGGCACGTGGGCCTGCTTTTCTCATCTGTGAAGTGGGGATCATCACGCCGGCTGCGGGTGGGGCCCCGTGGAGTGAGATAACCAGGAGAAGCACCTGCGGGAGGAAGGGCAGGGCGCGGCATCCCCTTCCCTGGCCCCCGGCCCCCGCTTCCTCCTTGAATGTGATCGCAATCTCCGATCTATCGGGCGAGCTGCGCGGGTCCAGAAGTGCACTGACCAGCGTTCCTTTCCACTCTGAAGTCAAGGGGAAAAAATTAAAAAATAAATAAATAAAAATAAAAACGCTACAGCTTACCTCACCCATACATGTGCAAACTCCTTCAGTCATCAGCCCACTCACTCGTTGCCCACCCCATGAGCCGGGCACTGGGAATGAGTGGGCACTTCAGCTGGGAATGCTCCTCTCTGACCGGCCGGCTGCAGGCCAGAGCGGGAAGCTGTGGCCTGACTGTGCACTGTTGTCTGGAGCAGCCCGGCCTCCGTGTCGCGGTGCACCATGTGGCCCTCTATCCAATGTGGGAAGTGTTGGTGTCTTGAGGAAGCACTGTGGTTGGCCCGTTGGCCTGGGGTTGATGCATGGTGCCAGGTCATTATCTGTCCTTATCGATAAGGTGTCACTGTCGGGTGGGCTCATGCGTGGGGGACTTGGCAGGGTCCTTACCCCAGGGGGAGACTTGGGGTGGGCTTCGGCGGTGAAGGACACCTGCCCACTGCCCCTCACCCCCACCCCGTGCTCGTGCTCTCTCTCAGAGCCTGGCTTGCCTCCATGGGCAGAGCTGCTGCTCTGGGTGTGGGTGGCAGGGGGGTGAGGTGAGCAGGGGACACTGGGCGCCAAGAGGAGAAGGTCTGTGTGTTTGTAGTCAGTGCCCACTCATTCCCAGACGGTGCCCGGCACACGGGGGGAGCAGTGAGTGCGTAGGCTGATGACTGAAGCAGTGTGCGCATGAATGGGTGAGGTAAGCTGTAGCGTCTTTTTTTTTTTAATTATTTTTTTCTTGATTTCAGAGAGGAAGGGAGAGGGAGAGAGAGAAAGAAACATCAATGATGAAAGAATCATTGACCCGCTGCCTCCTGCACACCCCCCACTGGGGATCAAGCCCGCAACCTAGCCATGTGCCCTTGACCGGAATCGAACTTGGGTCACTTCAGTCCTCAGGCCAACGCTCTATCCACTGAGCAAAACTGGCTAGGCCTGTAGCGTTTGTTTATATATTTTATAATGTAATTGAGCTACTTTCTTCCAGGCTTGAGGGATTTCTGTAAGGTTTAGCTTCTCAACGAAGAGCAGGCCAGTGCACTGAGGGTTCTTGTGTCTGGAACAGGGATCGGTAAACTGTTTGCTGCTCTGTTGACTAATGAGCTTGCCGACCACTGGTCTGGAACGGTGCTGGTGCTCTTAGCCATGGGGTGAATGATGTCAGGCTGCCTTTCAGTCTTCCCCCGATTCTGTCTTCTGTTCTGCACCTCAGAGTTGACCTGCTGGCTGATGGAAATGGCCAGTCCCTAGAGGCGATGGACACTGCATAGTCTTCCTCGACGAACTCTCGTCTCCCTGGCGCCTTCCTTTGGTTTTCTCTCTTTCGGCTCAGTAGGAAACCCGAATTGGTGAGGCCTTGGCCGCCATCCAGGCCGAAGGACGGGGATGAGCGTTTAAGAGTGCCGCCGTGCCCTGTTGCCCGTAGTGTTGTGTTTATGTGCTTTTGTTCTCTGCTTCTTGGCCCACTTTCAGATTTCCTTGAAACCCGTCTCCTCCTCCTGACAGTGACCTCATGTGTTTGACCCCTGGGGCTTGGCATGCCACATGTGTGCACTGAACGTGACCTGGGCCGATGCTGGTGTGGATCCCATGACGGGAATTAGGGAGCTCAGTGCCATTTCCCTTTCTTCCTCCTTCCCTTTATCCCTCCCTCCCTCTCTTCCTCCTTCCTTTCCTTCCTTCCCTCTATCCTTCCCTCCCTTGGAGAAAGTTTGAAAGCTTGCAAGTTTACGGGATGAAAATGACCTGGAATCATGACAGCATGCTGTCAAATACCACCGAGTGGCATTGAGTGAGACCCACCTTTATTCTCCAAGGTGTCCCGCTGTCAAGGACATGGCTCACTCTTCCCAGGGGCGGGCCAGGGGCGGGCGTGTAGCTGCGCTGCGGGCCTGCACGTGGGTCCGGTGGCCTGACTTCCAGTCGCACTTCCTCTCTCGGCCTGTCAGTTTCCACCTGATAAGTAATTCCTCATAAAAGGGTGGGGGACTCCGTGAGAAAGTCTACAAAAACACCGTCAGATCTCAGACGCTTTAAATGATTTATTACCGTAATTGCTTGGTGGGTGGGTAAAGCGGCCCTTCCTCGCCTGGTTGGACGTGTGAGGCTCTGTGCGGGAGACGCAGATGTCACGCCACATGGAGGGGCGGTCAGTGTCAGCGTGGTGTCTCCGGGCCGGTGGTTGCGTGTGCTGTGGACCTCGCTGGGCGTGAGGCTGTTGTCTGAGGGACGCCGTGCGTTTCACCGGGGCTTCCCTTAGGGTTGCGTTCCTCCCTGGAACCAGAGGGTTCCTGATGTCTTAAAAACACAGCCTCCTGTCTCAAAAGTAGTTTGACTTCGTACGGTCCTAGAACACGGCCTTGAACATGTGCCTAGAACATGTGCCTTCCGGTACTTTTCTATCAATGGGAAACGGGAGAAGACGGGGGGAGGGAAGAGGATAACCGTGGTGGGTGCGAGAGCCAAGCTAACCTGCCCTGGGTTGGGTCCTTCTTCCCCGTAGACCTTCTGGAGAAGTCGCGCGTGGTCAAGCAGCCGCGGGGCGAGAGGAACTTCCACGTCTTCTACCAGCTGCTCTCCGGCGCCTCCGAGGAGCTCCTGGGTGAGTGCCTGCTCCAGTCTTCGTGCCAGTGCGTGGATGGTGCTCTCTCTCATCATTGGGCCCTGGTTAGGCCATGTCACAGTGTTTTCTAGAGCATTCTCTTCAATTCTTTCTTTCTTCTTGAATTATTTCCTAAATTCACCTTTAAAAAAAAACATCGTTAGTGTTGAAAGCATTACAAGATGCCCCATTTTCCCCCCGACTGACCTCTCCCAGGCCGGCCCCGCCCCCACCCCAGGCCCTCACCACCCTCTTGTCTGTGTCCACGGGTTATGCCTAGGCTCATACAAGTTATTTGGTTGATCTCTTCCCTCCTGTCCTCCCCCAGAGCATCCTTTTAAAAAGTGTCTCACCTGCTCTCCTCTCCTCCTCATATATTTTCTGTGACCCTGGTTGAAGAACACGGTGTGTTTGCTTTGCTTCCACGCCAGTGTTGGTTTGTTATATGTCCCTGTGCCTCGCCTGTCTCAAGAGGGCCTCCTAAAAGAGCTATGCATTGGGGGAGGGGCTAATGATAGCGTAAAAACAGTGAGATGGAATGATAATTTATTTCACATGGGGAGAGGGGAGGGAGCAGGGAGCAGTGGATGCACACCTGGATGGAAGCATGGTTCCGTGAAGACTGAGAAATAAAGTGGGAAGGCATTTGCAACTAGAGCTTGAAAACCTCCCCTCTGGATATTTGAGAGAATGCGTTAAGTGCATCGGTGCAGCACCCAAGCGCAATAGCCCAGTGACGAAAAGTTCTGCACAAATGGTTGAGACTGGAGGAGCTCTGGCGAGTCAGCGTCATGTGGGGAGATTCATCCTCAGGAACGGTCTGCAAAGGCCTCTGGAGTGTCCACTACACGTGCATGCGTCGGGGGTTACTAGCAAGGGGGGAGCCTGGTCTGCTCAGAGGGAGGACTTCTTCCTGGGGGACCCCAAACAAGCCATGAAGTGGTCAGCCTCCCACCCAGCACGCCGCTTTTTGGAACACACCCCAATGTAGTAGTTCAAAAACACCGCAACACCCCGGGTAGGGGGACCCTTATCCCTGCCCTCTATTCAGCATGCCCTGGTGCAGGGATGGCTAGGCAGATATCCTGTTAACACGAAATAGGACACTGAAGACATTTTATATGATAAACCTATGGAAGGGGCCTGACCCATAAAGAATAAATGTGGGAGAACTGGGAACAACCCTGAGAAAGGTGATTTCAGAAAACAGCAATTCCTGGTTTTCCTGTTAAAAGATGGTTCGGGCTATCGAGGTGGCTGATCGCTTTGTGTGTGTGTTTCAACAGAGAAACTTAAACTCGAGCGGGATTTCAGCCGATACAACTACTTGAGTCTGGACTCGGCCAGAGTGAACGGAGTGGACGATGCGGCCAATTTCAGAACCGTGAGGGTAAGCTTACCCTTCTCATTGCTCTTTAAAGTGACAGCGACCGCGCTTTGTCGCTCAGTCGGAATTGGTAACAAATTGTGTCCCTCGTGCTCCAGAAAGGCTCAGGATTCCGCAAGCATGGGTTGTGTTTGCGTTGGCCGTGGTCTCTTCACTAGCCCGGAAGTGCAAGGCGAAGGCCATGCCGTATGGGAGGGAGCTAACGATTTTCCTGTCAGCAGGAGCCTCTGATTGTATGAGTTTGGAGTTTGACTCTTTTGAGGTTGCACTGAAATTCTGACTGTTTCCATAACCAGAGGCCAATAGTACGTTTTCAGGTGGGGAAGCTTAACATGGTCTAGGACCATAGGAAGCCAAAACTGTTTTTGAGACAGAAGGTTGTGTTTTTAAGTAGCTTCTGAGCAATTGTGACAAAATCAGGAATATTTGCCTTTAGAGAAAGTCTTTTTTTAAAAAAAAATATATATTTTATTGACTTTTTACAGGGAGGAAGGGAAAGAGATAGTGAGTTAGAAACATAGATGAGAGTCATTGATCAGCTGCCTCTTGCACGCTCCCTACTGGGGATGTGTCCGCAACCAAGGTATATGCCCTTGACTGGAATCGAACCCGGGACCCTTGAGTCCACAGGCCGATGCTCTATCCACTGAGCCAAACCGGTTTTGGCTAGAGAAAGTCTTTTAATTGATAGGCTGTTCTGTGTTCCCGTGGCACTTTGACAATCACTGCTCTCGGGACGTGCCGTGGTAACGGATGTTTACTTCAACCCGAGACAGCGGTGGTGGAGGGTGGGCGTTGGGGGTGAGGGGTGAGCCAGATCCTGGAGGAAACTGGATTGTCACCAGCTCATCTCTGAGGGTGAGCAGGATGGGATGCCTTGCGGTTCTCTCCCTGCTCTCTCTACCACTATGTATGTTAGAAATGCTGGGTGGCCTCAGCATAACCAGACAAGCTGGGCTCTTCTCGGAAAGAATGCGTGTCTCCACGGGTGTCCCTATTAAAGCTGTGGTCGCCGTCGAAGGCGAGGCCTCCGGGGTCCTGGACACAGTCACGAGACGTGGGTTCTAGACCAGCTCTCCAAGGACTCTGCCTGGCAAATCGTTGGCACTCAGTGCAAATTTATGACTGAACGGATGTGCCTTGTTACCCACAGTGCCTTGGGTCGGTTTGCAAACTTCATCTTTGCAACCACACTTTTTCTCATGTGTAACGTGAACGAGGAGGTTATGGAAGGTTTTCTTTCCAGCAGTAGAGTTCCAGTATGGAAGATGGATGTATACACACACAGAAACAGGGTGGGAACCCAAGACTCAGCTCCCAGCCTCCTCTGCCTTCCTGTCCCCCCGCACCCACCTTTGTCACCGCCCCTGAGGGGCCCTGGGGGCTCCCAGACCCTCAGCTTGAACCCTTGCCCAAGAGAAAGCCCCACTGGATGCTGTATTCCGGGACACTTTGTCTTTTTGGTGGTTGTTGTTTTTGTTACTTCAGAAACAAACGTGTTATGTGATTCATTTAAAAAAATAAATAAATAAAAGGACTGCAGAAAGAACACGGGTGTTTGTCCCCCAGAATGCCATGCAGATCGTGGGCTTCATGGACCACGAGGCCGAGGCCGTCCTGGAGGTGGTGGCCGCGGTGCTGAAACTGGGGAACATCGAGTTCAAGCCCGAGTCGCGAGTGAACGGCTTAGACGAAAGCAAAATCAAGGATAAGAACGGTAAGTCCAAGCGGAACCCGCTTTGTCCGGCCAACGCGTCCTGTACCCACCTTTGTCATGTTTAATCCAGAGAGGAAGCCTCGCTTTCGATCGGCTCCAAAACGGCTTTCTAGTGAAGCTGCCAGAAGCGTGCTCACAGCTGCGTCTGGGGTGTCCTGTGCGGTGCGGGGTGAACGTGCCGCAGAGGGACTCCTGAGCCGGGAGCGTGGCCCTGAGGGCACGCCCAGGCACCATCCTCTCCCCCGCACAGAGCTGAAGGAGATCTGCGAGCTGACGGGCATCGACCAGGCGGTCCTGGAGCGCGCGTTCAGCTTCCGCACGGTGGAGGCCAAGCAGGAGAAGGTGTCCACCACGCTGAACGTGGCGCAGGTGGGTGCGCCCAGCGCCCCGGCGGGGGGGGGGCGGGGGGGGGGGACTCAGGGTGTTCGATAGTTCGATAGTTTTACATCAGGGGATGCTTGAATTTTATCATCAGGGTATTGGTTACCACTCCTTTACCAGTTCTCAGAGGCTTGACTGGCCATCCAGAGTGTAATGAGAACTGGCTTTGAGAAGAAATTTGGGATAAAAGAGCTGTAAACGTGTATTTTTTAATCTTATTTTATGGGAGTAAGCACTGTGGTCGTCGGGGGAATGTTGAGTTTTTATTTTTCTTCCTTCTAGGCGTATTATGCCCGGGATGCTCTGGCTAAAAACCTGTACAGCAGGTTGTTCTCATGGCTGGTGAATCGAATCAATGAAAGCATCAAGGTACGGAGCCTCCCGAGCCAAATAGATCGGTGGCAGTAAATGGCATTCAGAGTATAAACTTCAGGCGGAAAGATACCTTAACTTTATAATCAAATCATTGGTTACCGTGTACCAGGATTGTTCCTTGAGAAGGATTTCCCTCTTGTGGGGTTGAAATCTCTCGGGTTCTGTTTCGCTGTGCCATATGGTGAGCAATCTCTCTAGTGAATGAAACAGTCTTTGCAGACTCACTCTCAGCGTCTGACTAGTTGGACACCCTGCCCAAAAGGTCATGTGACCCCTCTTGTTACTACCATTCTTCCATCAAATGAGGGGATTGGCCTGGGCGACTTTGAAAGGCCCTGCCTGTTGTGAGACTGAGCAATCCTTTTTCATAATTAAGCATCACTTCTGCCTCCCCTAAACGTCATCTGCTATTCAAATTTCTGAAAGATTCCTTGCCATCCTCTTATCTCAGACATTTAAAACACAACACTAAGGCCGAAACCAGTTTGGCTCAGTGGATAGAGCGTCAGCCTGCGGACTGAAAGGTCCCAGATTCAATTCCGGTCAAGGGTACGTTCCTTGGTTGTGGGCATATCCCCAGTAGGGGGGTGCAAGAGGCAGCTGGTCCATGTTTCTCTCTCATCAATGTTTCTAACTCTATCCCTCTCAATTCCTCTGTGTAAAATCAATAAAATATTTTTTTAAAAAACAAAAAAAACACACAACACTAAGTCACAGTTATGCTGGTTACAAGTCACAGTTGACTTGTAATCTACCTAATAAAAGAGTAACATGCTAATTGGCCTTACCTTTGAGATGCCCACCAGCCAATCAGGAGTGAGTATGCAAATTAACCCAACAAAGATGGCAGGTTAATTTGCATATGCAGGCACTGAGTGGCCAAGGGGCAGGGCGGGATGCTTGTGTCATTGCCATGGCAATGACACAGGTGTTCTGCCCCACCCCTGACACTCTGGGACTCTGGGCAGCGTGGGAAGGCAGAAAGGCAGCTCCACGCCAGAGCAAAGGCAGTGCCAGCAGCCAGTCGAAGAACAGCCCATTCTCACATGAATCTTCATGCATCGGGCCTCTAGTGCGTGTGTGTGTGTGTGTGTGTGTACACACACACACACACACATATATACACACTAGAGGCCCGATGCACGAAATTTGTGCAAGGGGCTCGGCCCTCGAAACTCACCCCAGCTGCTTCGCAGCCCTGCGGCCCCAACACTGGTCTTTCCAGAAGATCGTTCTGCCGTCTGGTCTAATTAGCATGTTAGCTCTTTGCTAACCTTGCTGTGCTTTTAGTGTCACTTTCATGCCTAAATTAACCCATCGCTTTGAAACTTTTGAAGGCACAGACCAAAGTGAGGAAGAAGGTCATGGGCGTTTTGGACATCTACGGCTTTGAAATTTTTGAGGTACGATTTTTTTCTTTTCTTTTTTTTTATTTTATTATCTTTGTTAATTTCGAACAGTTGGAAATTAACTCTTCCATAGACAATATTTATATAATTAATGTAACTTCAAATCAACCAATGACCTCTGTGCAGTTATAACAGGATGTGTGTGTGTGTTTGGATGTGTTTTGAGTGCGAAGAGTGGCATTTTGGAAACACTGCTGTGTGTAACAGAACTTCCTGTATTAGCACCTGACTTTTGAAACGGCAAATGCAGAATTCTTAGCGGGAAATTTCCAACAAGGTGTGTGGACATTATTCCTGAGGTGTTCATTTATTTGTAAGCTGTTTGGAAAGTGAGGCAGGATGGTGCTGCAAAAAAGGAAGGAACAGCTGGGCTCTGGCCATGCCCAGCAGCGCCGGTCACTTTGTCTCTGTGGGACCCACACGGGGGTGGGGGGAGGAGGGGTTGCTGAGTTAGAGGTTTAGTGTGTCTCACCGGCTGTGTTCTTACACGACAAATTCTGCCTCAGGGTTGAAATAATTTCTGCTGAAGTTTGTAATGAAGTTTTAAAAATATATATTTTTATTGTCTTCATGATAACTCATTGTGCTCTCTGTTTGCCCGTCTACATCTTCTCAGACAATCCTCCAAACATCTTGGTTTTAACAACTTCCTTATTTTATAAATAGATTTAGTTGGGGAAGTTAGAATAAAAATTTGGTTGGGCACTCCCACATGCCCTTTGGTACCGAATTAGCACACGTCTTTCTCCTTCTAATACATACATACCCCAACGCCCCGCTCCGCTGTCCTGGATGCTCTGAAAAACGGGAATCCGTGAAGGTCAAAGGCCCGGGGGGTCGAGCGCCAGGGAGCCAGGTCACGGCTGTGGCCTCGGGAGGAGGGGGCAGAGCACCTCAGTGGTGACCCTGAGAGTGTTTGTGACGCTGTCTGCGTGCGTGGAAATAACCTGAGCTCTGAGAGGAGCCGTCTTTGTCCCGTGAACACCGACGGCAGGAGTGAAGGTCGGTGGTTAGAACACCCTGGGCCTCACTTGACTCAGTGGACAGTGAAGGCCCCGAAGTTTCTGTTTCCGAATCCTGCCTGGTGGCCTCCCTGACTGTTCCCAAGGACACGGCTTCAGCTGAGCTGGCAGAAACCTGGCATGCGTTCGGTCCTTCTCTGAACAGGAGCTGGAGCTGATGCCCGGCAGCGTAGGGTGCTGGCCCGCGGGCTGGGGGCCACATTCCTGGGCTGCGGGGAGCCACGCAGGCCGCATGAACCTGCCGTCAGCCTGGGAAGCGGATTCGTGGAGCACTGATGCCTGGCATTGGGCGAAGTGCATTAAAACTCACAGAGAAGCCCTGGCCGGTTTGGCTCAGTGAATAGAGCATCGGCTTGCGGACTGAAGGGTCCCAGGTTCGATTCCGGTCAAGAGCATGTATCTTGGTTGCAGGCACATCCCCAGTAAGGGGTGTGCAGGAGGCAGCTGATCGATGTTTCTCTCTCATCGATCTTTCTAACTGTATCCCTCTCCCTCTCTGAAAAAAAAAAAAAAAAAAATCAATAAAATGTATTAAAAAAAAAACAACAACAAAAAAAAAACCCGCAGAGGAGGAAAGACCAGCCATACATCCAGGAGAACAATAAGCCCGGTTTTGTGCAGGAGGAAGGTTATAATCCAACCGCTCCAGTTCTCCACAGCTCAGTCTGGATGTTCTTAGAACTGAGAACATGGCCTTTGATCTGTGGGTAATATTTAGAGCATCTCTCTCTAAAATAATAAATGCCATCCCTTGGAAGAATGAAATTAAACTCGGCAGTGCTGACCATCTAAAGTGACTCCACTTTTCCCTAAGTACTTGTGAGGTGGGCCTTAGGATGGAAGGAGTTACTGCGCTCTGCCCCGATGCTTTCTGTTTTTATTTTGCTCTTTCAGCAACAGGATAGGTCAGAGAGCCAAGCTTTTGTTCGGAGTCTCCAGAACACTCTAGCACCTTGATTGTGCTTGGAGGGGAGACACCCGGCTACAGCACAGGGGTGGGCGGCACGGAGTGGGTCCAACAGAGGAGGGTGGCATGGGGGGTGGGATTGAGGTGCTGGGGGAGGGAGGACCTGGATCTTGCTGAACTCCTCACCTTTTGGTGACCTGCAGCTGCCCGTCCTGACTCTGGGTGGATGCCACGCAAGTGCTATTTTTTCCTGGTAATTCAGAACGAGAGGCTTTAGGCTCCGAAGCCTTAGGGCTGCGAGCAAGTCCCGGGGCGTGTCACTACGTCAGTCAGACCCTTTTCGCCCCGAAGAGGTCTCGCCTCGCAGAGCCACCGCTCAGACATTCGTGTAGGTCCTGGTCCCGACTCATGCATCATTGGGACACGTATCTGGATCTAACGTGTTACGCCATCAGGAATACAGAAGTAACGCCTGGACGGCCCTCCTGCCATCCATACCGCCGTTAACTGTCCCTAAGAGTTTACTCCCAGGCGTTAGTTGCACGCGAAGCGCTGACTGCACGTGTGTATCTGTCCCTTCACACCAGGATGCAGCGGGTGTCCCATGTGCCATGGGGCCTGTGCGTGCCTGGGTGACGCGCTTTCCCATCCATGAACACGGCAGCGAGGCCGTCGGCAGCCACGTGGGCATGGACAGAGTTCACGCAGGGTGTTCAGAGACCGAGGAGTGTCAGTGTCGCTCTGACCGCTCTGGCGCTGTGCTGTGGCCGTGAGGCTGCGCTCTGGGCCCTCATCCGTGTGTGTCCGTGGCCTGTCCTTGGGGTGTCCTTCAGGCTGTGCACAGCTGCGTCCTGGGTCTGAGCATACTGCCCCCACCCCCCCAGCACCTGCCATTGGGAGATTTAGTATAAAAAAACACAGCCTCTTGCTGGAATCAGTTTAGCTCAGTGGATAGAGCGTCAGCCTGCGGACTAAAGATCCTGGGTTCGATTCCGGACTAGGGCATGTACCTTGGTTGTGGGCACATCCCCAGAAGGGGGTGTGCAAGAGGCAACTGATCGATGATTCTCTCTCGATGTTTCTAACTCTCTATCCCTCTCCCTTCCTCTCTGTAAAAAATCAGTAAAACATTTATTAAAAAAAAAAAACACAGCCCCACGGCACAGCCTTACCCAATTACTAGGGAGGATGTATCCTATGAATTTGTTTTCTAAAAAAATAAAAACAAACATAAAGACCTGCTCATATAAACCGTTAAAATACTGATTTTTATCTCTAAGGTTTTCATTTGTACTAGTAGCATTCTATGAGGGCCTATTTTACCAAATGAAGAAAATCAGAATTTCTCCCATATGTAATGTTGTTATACTGGTTATAACAGCAATAATAACAGTAATAGTAACACATCTCTACCCGATTGGCTGCAGCTTCTAACCCAGCGTTTTTCAACCGCTGTTCCGCGGCACACTAGTGTGCCGCGAGATGTTGCCTGGTGTGCCGTAGGTGCAGACAAGACAAGAATTTTATAATTTTTCACTATTTTGTTTACTTAATATTTCATAATAAAGTAATTATAAAATACTTTCTTTGTGTTTATTTGATTCCTATTCAAGAGAATTACTTTATATGTAGTCAATATAGGCACAGAGTTAAATTTTTTAACATTTTCTAATGGTGGTGTGCCTCGTGATTTTTTTCATGAAACAAGTGTGCCTTTGCCCAAAAAAGGTTGAAAAACACTGTTCTAACCTAACGGTTAACCTCTGAGGACTGCAGCACCTGGTTTTAAGTCTTTATGCGAAGATGGGGACTGGAGACTGCCTTTGTGTCTAAGACTCTATTTGTTGAAAGCATTGAGCATCATGATGTGACCTTTATAAACTTCGGGATTTAAAAACAAAAAAACCCTTTATTCTTGACTGCATTTAACATGAAAGGATCAGCCGTGACCGTATACATGTGTCATCTACGGTTTCTAGTCCAAAGTCCTCTGATTAGCTGGCTCCTCCCTGTGGTGAGCCGACTTCCAGGGGAAATGTGGCCAGCTGCCTGCGCTTTGCACATGTCCTTTCAATACTTACGTCCCAGGTGGGGCCACAGTTGGGTTGAAAAGATCAGGTTTCCTCGCTTTTATTGTTTAAGGGGAGATTCAAAGGCCGGAAGTTCCATGGATCCACAGGGAGGGGCGATCAGTTCTGTGGCTTGCTGACCCTCTCAGCTCACTCATTTTCCGGTGCCTGCCCCTCCCCCCCTCTGGGGGAGAAGAGTCAGGCTGATCCTGGTGGGGTCCCACCATCCTTTGCTCCCAATGCCACCGCCTATGTCTGTCTGTCTGTCTCTCTCTCTCTCTCTCTGTCTCTCTCTCTCTCTCTGCAAAGAGGAGGGATAGAGTTGAAACCCACTAGTTTTATTACCAGAACTACCTCTTCCTAGACCACGTGGTTTCAGTGAAGGGTGTCCATTCAATAGACGAGCATTTTGTGCCTCCAGGATATATTATACCTCCCAGTGGATTGACTGTTCGGAGATGGTTTAGGCATGGATCACCCACCCAATTTCACAGGAGATAGCTCTACTAGGAAGGAGAAAGTGCTGAGAGTCGTAAGAGTAGTAGCTCTGTGAGCCTTCTGAGGAGAGATTATTTCTAAGTAGGAGACGGTTTTGACATGCTGATTCCTGTGAGTTGTCTTTCTGAAGGCATGCCGTTCACTCATTGGCTCATCAGATGCTTATGGAGTCTATTCATTGGCTCATCAGATGCATATGGAGTCCCTTCACTGGCTCATCAGATGCATATGGAGTCCATTCATTGGCTCATCAGATGCATATGGAGTCCATTCATTGGCTCATCAGATGCATATGGAGTCCATTCATTGGCTCATCATATGCATATGGAGTCCATTCACTGACTCATCAGGTGCATATAGAGTACTTATTAAGTGCTAGTTGGGGTGCTGTTGTGCCTACATTGTGAACAAGGGACCTATAGTTAGAAGTGTACCTTCTCATGAGACAGATGAACAAGAAACCAATCAATAAATATGTACACACATCTATACACACAGGGAGTCCTTCTTGAGCTCCAAAGTTACGCGTGAGAGTAGATAGAAGGTTGAAAACTTGGTTGACAGATTATGGAGCTGTGTTTTTTCCTTCTGAATCTTCAGGGGGAAATGTTTGTTTATATTCTTCACTGTGTGTGGGATGTTCCACTAAAAATCTCCATCCTTCACATACTGCCTCCTTGTGTGTCATCCATTCATTCGCTTGCCCCATGGACGTTTCTTGTGTGCCTCAGAGTGTGATCCTCCGTCCTGGGGGCTGTGTGCCGGGCCCCAGGTCAGTTTGAGGCCAGGCGTGACGCTGCTTGCGGAGTGAGAGGTTAGAGGTCACGGTTGTGGGAGAGCTGATGGCATGGCTCCTTGTTTTCCATACAGGACAACAGCTTTGAGCAGTTCATCATCAATTACTGTAATGAGAAGCTGCAGCAGATCTTCATTGAGCTCACCCTTAAAGAAGAGCAGGAGGAGTACATACGGGAGGTAATGTAGACATACCATTTTTTTTGCTTGTTTTTTAAATATATTTTATTGATTTTTTTTTAATTTATTTTTTTTACAGAGAGGAAGAAAGAGGGATAGAGAATTAGAAAATTAATGAGAGAGAAGCATCGATCAGCTGCCTCCTGCACACCCCCCACTGGGGATGTACCCGCAACCAAGATACATGCCCTTGACTGGAATCAAACCTGGGACCCTTCAGTCCGCAGGCCAATGTTCTAACCATTGAGCCAAACGGTTTCAGTGACATATTGTTTTTAAATGTCCCCTGTTCATGCAGGATACAGATTCTGGATTCAGAGGCTGTACAGCCCTGACCCTACAATCAGTGTCCCCTAAGTGCAGCTACCTGCTGTCTTTTGAACATTAATTTTGTTTGACATCTGGGCCAACGGGGATTTCCCCCCCCCGCCCCCCCTGCTGTGCTGCTGGTGCCTGGTAAAATGTGTGACACACAGCAGGTGCTCCATAAATACCAGCTTAGCAACTCCAGTCCCCCAGAGTTTTACTGCAATGATGGGACGTGATACTGTGTTCAGGGAAGTCTGACGTGAGTGGACAAACAGCTGTGGTACATCCACATGAGGGCGTACTGCATAGCCCGCCAAGAGGAACCAGCCATCGAGGCACACGGTTGCCGGAGCGAATCTCACACTAGGCTAAGTGCAAGAAGCCAGGCCAGAGGCTGTCGATTGAACACTTCTGTTTGTGTGTTGTTCTAGAAAAGGCGAAGCTACAGTGGCCAAGTGATAAAGACAGGCCAGTGGTCGCCAGGGGCAGGGGGCAGGAGAGAGTGGGACTGCAGAGGGGGAGCTCCAGGGACCTTGGGGGCTGACGGTGTGGTACTTACGCGACACAGTGCATTTGCCAACACTGTGGAACCGTCTGTGGAAAAACAAAGTGGTGTCGTTCCATCTTGGAAAGCACTGGTTTTCTAAAAATGTATAGTGAAAATAGGTCACCTCTGTTGAGTGCTTGCTATAATGCCAGCTATTATACTAGTGCTATGGAGACGGTCTCACTTAATGACATCCTATATGATAAGAGAGGAATACGCTAATTATCCATTACGCTGTGAGGCGTAATGACCGACTGATCATCTAACAACCAGATCACCGATCTGCAGCAGAGAGGGGCAGCAAACTACAAGCAGGTGGCGGAAAGCTACAGGAGAGGGCAGGGCGGCGGGCAGAGAGCTACAGGAGGGCAGCAGCAACCTACTGGCCCACAGATTTGTGCACAGGGCTACTAGTTTAAAAATAAGAAGGAATGTTTACAAAGTCCTTTTATCCTTAATGGTAAAGCACATACTTGGTTTTTACCCTTTTATTTTTATTTATTTTTATTTATTTTTTAAATAGGTTTTATTGAATTTTTACAGAGAGGAAGGGAGAAGGATAAAGAGTTAGAAACATCAATGAGAGAGAAACACCGATCAGCTGCCTCCTGCACACCCCCTACTGGGGATGTGCCCTTGACGAATCAAACCTGGGACCTTTCAGTCCCCAGGCCAATGCTCTATCTACTGAGCCAAACCTGTTTCGGCATACACTTTCCCTTTTATTTTTAAAAGTCAATCTTTAAGTATAAAGTTATTTCAAGAAATGAAAGGGAATGACTTTATGTGTTTTTATTTCCTTTTCATTTATTTGCCTTAATATTATAGTACTATTGTAGTACAAGGGTAATGATAGTAGGTATTCCTCATTTTTATAGTGTCATTTGAAGTCATTAAGGACGCAGAATTCTCTCTTTTTAAATGTTTATTTCTCAGTATAGACTTTTCTAATGTGATTTTTATCCCCATTGACTTAGTAAAACAACCCATTTCCTTGAAAACAACGTCATAAATATTTTCCTTTTAGCATGATCCCGATGCTTTAGAAACTCTTGTTTCTGTACTGGTCTGACACATTTTGGTAACATAAACATCCTAGAAGCCAGATTAATCCGCTTCCTGTCTTTTCATCGTAAAGAGAACGCGAGGGCTTTGATCTGTAGCTTTAAACAGTTTGTGTGGATTACCGAGGACACTTCTGAGCAAGAGTAGGAAGCTGTCCCGCCTGCTGGGTGAACCCATTCTTTCCCTTTAGAAGAAAAGTAACTGTTTACCCGGATGGGCAGGATGTAAACAAATAGACCATTCCATGCGGCCTCAGATCGGCCTCTGTCGGGGCCTGGGGGTCGGCTCTCATGTCTCTCCTGAGGTTAAAGGTATTTTCTCTCCTCACCAAACTGTCTTCACACGTGAAGTAAATAGCTCACTGCTGTCCAACGTGGGATTCACTGAACTTAATGTTCCCCACGGATTACAAATTAAGAACAGAAAAATCGAGGCCTTAGGTTCTTGGGATCAAATGCTGACTTCTTTCCGTGTAAACACTGTAAACACACACAGTAATGTTGATCCAAGGGCCTGTGGAGTCCGTGTCTGGCCCAGGGCCAGGGAGAAGCATGGGAAAGGGCCAGAGATAGGGGAGCAGAGCGGGCGGCCGTCTCAGAGCAGGTCCAGGGTGTTCATTTCGATGAGGATGTCAGGGTGGACCTCGGCTTAGGAAGTGTGGGGTCTTGTCCTACCAGTTGGCTCAGTGGATAGAGCGTTGGCCTGCAGACTCAAAGGTCCCATGTTCGATTCCTGTCAAGGGCATGTACCTTGGTTGCAGGCACATCCCCAGTGGAGGGTGTGCAGGAGGCAGCTGATCGATGTTTCTCTCTCGATATTTCTAACGTTCTCTCGCTCTCCCTTCTTCTCTGTAAACTAGGGGTGTCGAACTCAATCAGAGAAGGGGCCAAAATCTAAAATCCAGCCTAAATCGCGGGCCGAATGGTTTACTGAACAGTCATAAACTGTCATTGTGATGGAAACGCAGCGGAGTGCAGTGATGACAGCGTGATGCGGGCCACATTGCAAGGCCTGGCGGGACGGATTTGGCCCGCGGGCCTTGTGTTTGACACATGTGCTGTAAACAATCAATAAAATATATTAAAAAAAAAAAAAAAAAAAAAAAAGGAAAGAAAACAAGCATGGGGCCTGGAAGATGGCATGGGCAGCCCTGATTTTACTGGGAGCATGGAGACAGGAAGTGAAGGACAGTCGCTGGGCCGGAGCGATCCCCCGTCGGGTGGGGTTGCAGCCTCGTGACGTGGCGTTTGACTTTCCGGTCTGTTTTCCAGGACATAGAATGGACGCACATCGACTACTTCAACAACGCCATCATCTGCGACCTGATAGAAAACGTGAGTGTTCGGCACGGCTTTCTCCATCTCCCGGTGACACAATCCCCTCTCTGCGAGCCTTCTGCCTGCCGTCAGGGCTGAGCCTGAGCCTTCCCTTCCTGGGGTGCTTTTCTCCGGAAACTGCGGGGTCCGTAGGCTCTGCTCCCGCCCTCGGGGTTGCACGTGGTTCTTGAACCACGAGAGGTTTAGATACTCAGCCCGATTCCCTGGGCGTATCCCGTCACCGTATCATGATGTTCCCGGAGCGCAGGCCCGGCTCCTGCGGGTGTGGACCCCGGGCGGAGGAGGCCCGGAGCAGCCGTGCGGGTTTTTGCGGAAGCAAAATAGCCATTTCGTTTCTAAAGCTCCAGCCACTTCTTCCCATCCCGTTCGGAGGTGGTTATCACAAAGATCATTTCCATGGGGCACGGGGAGACAAGGGAAGCCATGTGTGCTGCTGCTGGGGATGTAAATGGGTGCCACGGCTATGGAAGACACTGCGGAGCCTCCCTGAGAGATTAAAAATACAGCAACCGTGGGATCCAGCCATTCCACTTCTGGGTTCGTAGCCAGAGGAATTGGAGCCGGGATCTCGGAGAGAGGTCTGCCCTCCCATGTTCGTTGCAGCATTAGCGACCGTAACCAGGAGCTGGGGGTAACCTACCAGCTTCCTCTGTGGGTAAAGGAGGTGGGATGGGGATCAATGTGTGAGTATTACTCAGCCAGGACCAAGCAGGAAGTCCTGCCATTTAGAGCAAACCGGGATAGACCTCGAGGACAGGATGCTCCGTGAGAGAAGCCAGACCGAGACAGATGCTCCAGGACAAGAGCACGATTATCTGAAATTTAAAGAAAGCCACCCTCAGAAACAGGGTGCTGAGGTGGTTGCCAGAATCTGGCAGGAGGGGTAAAGGGGGGGGGGTTATAAGAGGATTATGCTCTGGGGAGGCAGAGTACAGTGAGCGGACTGGAACTAACAATACTGCATTATGTACTTGCAAGTTGCTAGGAGAGGAGGACTTACATGTTCTCACCACACAAGGAAATGGTGATTGTTTTGGCCATAGTGACATTAGCCAACAGCTGTGGCTGTATTGGTAATCGTTCTGCAGTGTATGTGTGTCAAATCAACACGTTGTCCACCTTAAACTTGACGTTTTATATGTCAGTGACATCTGGAGAAAGCTGGAAAATGTACTTACTACATTTTTCTTTAAAAAAGCATGGTATTCGAAGGTAAAGGGACAACCTCAGGAGCTGGGTGTAGGGCCCCGGGAGCTGGCCAGATGTAAGCCCCCATTGGTTCAGAGCATGTGTCGGGGGAGACTGCATGTGTGGCTTCACAGGTGGCCACGGCCATGAATTTCTCAGGAGACACAAATATGTGTATGTATACGGGGAAAGGCTTGAAGTCTGAGAAATTACAGGACACTTTTTAGTAAGCTTTCTGAATCTAAGATTTTTGTTTCCATATCATATTATAAGCTAGAGGCCCAGTGCATGAAATTTGTGCACTTGCTGGGTGTGTCCCTCAGCCCAGCTGTGCCCTCTCGCAGTCCTGGATCGCTAGGGGAGTAGGACATCCTTAGCATTGCCAGGGAGGTGGGAGAGGCTCCCGCCACTGCTGCTGTGCTCACCAGCCATGAGCCCGGCTTCTGGCTGAGCGGTGCTCCCCCTGTGGGAGCGCACTGACCACCGGGGGAAGCTCCTGTGTTGAGCGTCTGCCCCCTAGTGGCCAATGCACATCATAGCAATGGGTCATTCTGCCATTCGGTCGATTTGCATATTAGCCTTTTATTATATAGGTTGAGTTGATTGCAGGAACATGGGTTTGTTCATGAAAACTCTTGTTTTATGCTTAGGATGATGAACCATCCTGGCCTTGTTAGCAAAGTAGTTAGAAATAGTGCGCGACCTTGATCATCCTGCAGCCTTCATGTCAGTTGTAGGTGAGAGCCATGCACCTGGAATGTGGTTACAGGCACTCCATGTCCGGCCTGACCCTTCCTAGTCACCGCTCACAGTCCTTTTAGAAAGGATGGAATGAGCCTGTGTTTTTTTCTCTCTCAGACAATCCTGATGAAACCAAACATTAAAACAGTCTTCTAGCCCTAACCAGTTTGGCTTAGTGGATAGAGCCTCGGCCTGCAGACTGAAGGTTCCTGGGTTCGATTCTGGTCAAGGGCATGTACCTTGGTTGCAGGCACATCCCCAGTAGGGGGCGTGCAAGAGGCAGCTGATAGATGTTTCTCTCTCATCAATGTTTCTAACTCTCTGTCCTCTCCCTTCTTCTCTGTGAAAACCAGTTTCTCTAAATAAAAGCCTAAGTGATCATTTGACCATTCACCCGATAGCTATGACATGCACTGACCACCAGGGGGCAGATGCTCAACGCACAGGGATGGAAACATGGAATAGACTGATGAATCTCAAGGGGAAGGGGGGATGGGGCAGGGTGGGAAGAGATTAACCAAAGATCTTACATCTATCTCAGAGGCCTGGTGCACGGATTTGTGCACCGGTGAGGGTCCCTCGGCCTGGCCTGCGGGGATTGGACTGAATGCGTGCACTGGGCCTCCGACATTCCCCTAGGGGTCCCAGATTTTGAGTAGGCACAGGCCAGGCTAAAGGAACCCACCGGTGCACGGATTTGTAAAATATATCTAAAAAACACCAACAAAACAAAACAAAAAAAAATCCCAATATTCTAAAGCATCATTAGTTTTCAGTTAAAAAGTGAACTTTGTTTGGAAACCTCTGAACGGTGTCGGCATGTGAACACCGATACCCTTAAGCAGTTCAAAACGCGAGTCTAACCTGCGGAAAAGCAGTGGATTTTTCTGAAAGTTTCCCCCCCATAAGTTTTGTGACCGAGGAGTTTAACTTTCGGAAGTCATGACCAACACGTTTCCCTTCGTAAGCACAGCATTGCACTTCATTATTTCTCTTTAAGGAGGAAAAACAACAGTGGTAATACGCTAAATTTAACCAGGTTTTTCTCAGCCGAAATTCCCCTTGTGTGTGTGATGGAAGAGACTCCATCTGAGTTCACATGGGAGCCCGGGTCCTCACAGGAAGCGTTTCCTTCCAGAATCACCTAACAATGAAGCTTCCTCGGGGGCCGTCCACCCCCTCGCTCCTGCAAGCCCGCATGTCCCGGGGTTTGGTGGGATTGAATGCATGTGGGGCGGAGGGGGTCATGGCCCTGTGTGTTCCACTGGGGACTTCCCTGCTGGAAGGGGCGGGGTCGAAGGTCAGGGGGGCGGGTCGTCCTCGCAGAGTGGACACACACAGGGGCCTCCAGAGGCGGCCGGAGGGGCAGAGCGGAAGGTGCCGGTCTCTGGCCCAGTTTCGTGGGCTCCCAGCTCGTGGGATGAGCATGATCACGGGGTCTGGTGCCCAGCCCGTGCTCCCTCCTGTTGGACATCCGTGCAGAGGTTTTATGGGGAGCTGGAGTTCACGCTCAGCAGACACCCTTCCAGCACAGCCCGGTGGCTTTGATTGTTCAAAGCAGCACCCGGGGTCCCTTTTTTAGCTCCTTTCCCCAGAAAGCGAGCTTGGCTTTGAGCACGCGGGCCGTTTGGAAACGTCCGACCCCACCAGCTTCCTCCTCCAGCTCGGGATCCATCACGGCCCAGGCCGGGCTCTGTGGTCTGTGACCACAGTGTTGCAGAGGCTGTTATCTGTCTCTTCTTGAGTCTCTGACGTTTGTGTGTGCCTTGAGGCTGAGGCCTCACGCACCTGTTCCTGACCGTGTGATCGTCAGCTCTTAGCCAGCTGCGGGCACGGGGACGCCGGAGCCTGTTCTGTGGGGGGAGCATGGTCGGGGGATGGGCACAGGGTGTGCGGCCCTCCCCCCCACACACACACACCCCCGGACACGGAGGGCGCGCAGGCCTCTGGGGTTGCTTGTCTGCTTCCTGCTGCTCCTGTGTGTGAGCGGTGCCTCGGGGCCAGGGTGACTGTGTGCTGATCCCCCCCCTGCCGCTCCCCAGAACACCAACGGGATCCTGGCCATGCTGGACGAGGAGTGCCTGCGGCCCGGCACCGTCACCGACGACACCTTCCTAGAGAAGCTGAACCAGGTGTGCGCCACCCACCAGCACTTCGAGAGCAGGATGAGCCGGTGCTCGCGCTTCCTCAACGACACCTCCCTGCCGCACAGCTGCTTCCGCATCCAGCACTACGCCGGCAAGGTGGGGGGGGCGGGCAAGGTGGGGGGGCGGGCAAGGTGGGGGGAGAGGCAAGGTGGGGGGGCAGGCAAGGTGGCGGGGGCGGGCAAGGTGGGGGGGAGGGGCAAGGTGGGGGGGAGAGGCGGGCAAGATGTGTGGGTGGGGCAAGGTGCGGGGAGAGGGCCAGCAAGGTAGGGGGGGCTGGCAAGATAGTGGGGGGACAGGGTGAGGTGGGGGCGGGCGGGCAGCAGGGTAAGGTGGGCATGTGGACAAGGTAGGCACCGGCAGGGGAGGGGGCCCTGGAGGGCAGGCCCACAGGGATGGAGTCAGGGGTCGTGTACTAACTGGGGTGGGGGTGGGGGTGGGGGTCGATGGATGCCAGGCTTATCAGGGTTCACTTCATCGCTTCTACCAGGTCTAACCACCGTGTGTGCACCTGAACCTAACAGAAGGTTGAATGCCAGATGCAGTTGAACAGTGAGAAAGTAAATAGTAGAATCAGGAAATGTTCCACAGAATCTGGACCACATCGAGCAAAATCTTGCTAATGCCCAGGCTGAAAGGAAAGCCGGTGAACTTCATGAGAGAGTTCGAATGTGTTCTAAAAAATGATTTTATTATTTTCAAGCTCTGAGCTGTCCTATAAAAAAGATCTATCAATACAAAGGGGATTTGCCAGTAAAAATTTAAGTAATAAGGTTTTAAAAGCACAAACCACTTAGGAAACAATATTCTTAGGTTTAGAAATGACATGGGAGAATATCTACTTTAAAAAAAACACACTTATTCATTTGGTTAATATCTGGGAGAATTAATTTTTAATGTTAAAAGCAGTTTTAATAATAGGTTAATTTTTATACTTCTAAAAGAATATTGCATGCAGTTAATACTTCTTTTGTTATAAAAAAGGCTGCAAACTCCAAAGGGGGAAAAATTTTTAATTATGTATTTAGTAAAAATGAAGTACGTAGTTTTTGACCTACCTTTAATTTTAAAATATTGAAACTTGTACTTTTTTTTCTTCCTTGGCCTATGTAATTAAAATATATTTTCTGGTCAATGTTGCTGCTGGCTTGGGATGTCGATGAAAATTTGGTCTTATGTCTACTTTATTTCTTCCTGTGCACTTTTTAATTTTTTTAAACATATTTTTATTGATTTCAGAGAGGAAGGGAGAGGGAAGGAAAGAGAGAAACACCAGTGATGAGAGAGAATCATGGATCGGCTGCCTCCTTCCTGTCCCACACCGGGAATCGAACCGTGACCTCCTGGTTCATAAGTCAACACTCAACCACCGAGCCATGCTGGCTGGGCCTTCCCGTCTGCTTTTAAACAGATTAGAATTGGCATTTGTGAACTAAAAAAAAATAAAAGTTAAACCTCAAAAATGTGCTCAAACACCAAAAAAAGAGAGATTCCTTTGAAAATGCTAAGCCTAACATTTTTGGAGTTTATTCTTAGAGATTCTGAAATGGTCATAGAATTTATTCAGAACTCTTCTGTGAGTTAGGCAGTTGGCCTTTACGCTCATTCGGCATCAGAGGGCGACTCACGTGCTGGGGACCTGATGGGAAAGAGGACACTGGGAGAGAGCCGGTGCGGAGCCATGTCACCAGTGGCTTGACACCTTGGAGTGCGAGTGTCTTAGAATATTTCATCCGGGTGTGCAAGTGCCCGTCGCTGAGTCTCGTGTCGCTCACAGGTGCTGTACCAGGTGGAAGGTTTTGTTGACAAAAACAACGACCTTCTCTACCGAGACCTGTCCCAGGCCATGTGGAAGGCGGGCCACACCCTCATCAAGTCTCTGTTCCCCGAGGGGAACCCCACCAAGATCAACCTGAAGCGGCCCCCGACCGCCGGCTCGCAGTTCAAGGCGTCCGTGGCCACGCTAATGAAGAACCTGCAGACCAAGAACCCCAACTACATCCGGTACTTCGGGCCCCCACCTTCCCGAGGGTTCACGGGGGAAGGCCCCTCCGGGGAGAGTCCTGTCCTGTCTGCTCAGCCTCAGCGCAGCCCGCGCAGAGGGTGACGAAAGCACGCACCGATCAGATGACACCGTGTCACAGGCTTGATTAAAAAATGCCCCAGTGCCTCCTCCGCCCCCCAGTAAGGGATTGAAGGCGGGGGGGGGGGGGGGGGGGGGAGTGGAGGTGGCACAGACATTTAATGGAATTGGGTTGTTGGTACGGGTCGGGGGTCTCAACTTCCTGTATTTTTTTTTTAAGTAAGTGATTTAAAGATGTTGAACAAGGTATGTTCTTAGTTTAAGAAGATAAGCAATAGGCAGGTTTTTAAAAGGATTCTGCATAAATGGTTGGATTATTCTGGGTTTGTTTTATGTTAACTTGGTAGGTTGGAGCGAGGGGGTCTCAGTGCAACTGTGGTTTTCGGGACTGTGTGCCTCCTCCTCTCCCCGGAGGCTGAGGGCCGGGAGGAGGAGGTTTTTGCTAGCCCGGCGGGAGGTTTCAGAGCAATAGCAACACTCGGAGAAGCCTCTGGGCTCCGCCTGCGTCCCAGGCAGCTTGGCCAGCAGGTTCGGGGGAGACGGCACCGAGTGGAGTCGCTCTCGGTGCATCTGGGGAGCGAGGTACTGGGAGCTGAGTGTCAGGTCGGGTTCCACCCGCACACGCACACCCACGCGCCTTCTTTAGTCTGAAAGCCCAGTTACCAGGAGACAGCGAGGAACGCTTTTGTGTTTGGCTTGTTTACCTAAGATTTCCTTAGCAACATATGAGCAGGCAAAATCCCGTTTGATTGCAGTTTGAGTAGAACATGTTAATTAGGTAACAACCCTGGTTTCATAAGAAGATAACCAGGAACCTTATGACCAGTTTCTTTCCTGATTTTTTTTTTTTTTTTTTTCCAAATGGGTAGATGTCATCGTTTGGTGCTGCCCTATTAAAAAGGAAGGAAGTACAAGGACATCGAGACACTGAGTTGCTTCTTTTAAATATGTTTTTATTGATATTTATAGTGAGAGGAAGGGAGAAGGATACAGAGATAGGAACCTTGATCGGCTGCCTACTGCACGCCCCCAATCCAGGCATGTTTGCTGACCGGGAATCGAACTCGTGATCTCTGGGTTCAGGGATTGATGCTCAACCACTGAGCCACATTGGCGGGGCATGGCACCGTGTTTTTAATCCCTTCATTGAGATAAACGCATAATGAAATATGGCCAAGCACGCGTGAGTGCTCATTGTACTCCTTGTTGAAGTTTCACATGTATGTGTGACCGATTCAGACCAAGATACACAAGATTTCCATTATCCAGAAGGGCCCTGTGCCGTCCCTGTCCCCCCCTTTCCCCCCTCCCTGAGGTGGCAGCAGGACTGATTTCTAACCTGAAGCTCTCTGAGCGTCCTAAGGGGATCGTGAAATGTGTCGTCTGTGTCAGACTTCTTTCACTCGGCAAAAGGGCAGGGGGACTCATCAGGTTATTGTGGGAGAGGGAGAGAGACACACATCCGTGATGGGAGAGAGTCACTGATCGGCTGCCTCCTGCATGCCCCCTCCTGGAGATCGAGCCTGCAACCCGGGCATGTGCCCTGACTGGGAATCGAACCCAGGATCCTTCAGTCCGCAGGCCGACACTCTATCCACTGAACCAAACAAGCCGGGACAGGACTTGCTTTTTTATGGCAGTAGAGGTAGTGTCTTAAATTTTAGGCTTTTGGAAAGTGACTTGAAATAATTTCAAAAGGAATGACTAGGTTTCCCAGGAGTAGTGAGTCCTCATCTCTCACGTTGGGAGACCCAGACAGAGGTTATCCCTGGGGGCAGAGTGTAACGTCCTAGTTTCCTTTCAGGTGCATCAAGCCCAATGACAAGAAGGCCGCCCACATCTTCAGCGAGGCCCTGGTGTGCCACCAGATCCGGTACCTGGGCCTCCTGGAGAACGTGCGGGTGCGCCGGGCGGGCTACGCCTTCCGGCAGGCCTACGAGCCGTGCCTGGAGCGGTACAAGATGCTGTGCACGCAGACCTGGCCTCACTGGAGAGGGCCTGCAAGGTGAGCACTCGTCGGCCATGCCCAGCTGTGAAGCCTTAAAGCACAGGGCTCACCCGTATTGTTCACAGGCTCCGAGGCAGAACCAGTGTATGGAACATGGGATGGAATCGCTGCTTCGTACCCTTTTCCACCCGGGTCATTCTGTGCTAACCTTAATTCATTGTAGAAGTCTCAGTTTTGGGTTTTTGGTGTTTTTTTTTTAATTTATTTTATTGATTTTTTACAGAAAGGAAGGGAGAGGGAGAGTTAGAAACATCGATGAGAGAGAAACATTGATCAGCTGCTCCCTGCACAACCCTTACTGGGGATGAGCCAGCAACCAAGGTACATGCCCTTGACCAGAATCGAACCTGGGATCCCCCCAGTCTGCAGATCGACATTCTATCCACTGAACCAAACAGGTCAAGGCAGAAGTTTCAGTTTTCTTTAAGGTCCAAACAGGGCTTACAAACTCATGCTGGCAACTTACCTGTCCTGTGGTCAGTCAGGAGGGGTTCATAGTTGATCAGTGCATTTGTATGGAGTCATGGAGGGTACAGTTGGACAGGCATGTTGGACCACTGCTCTCAGCCAAGAAGAGGACTAACCTCAGGGAGAGTCCAGGGGTGGGAACGAGGGTCCCACTTTTTACCCAGGTCTGTACGCCTGGGTAGAATCCAAGGTGTCAGTGTCTTTGCTGGCAGGACTAGATGGGAGGCAGGGGCCCTCCTCAGAGGCATGTACATAATAAAATACATGTCCACCTTCCTGGCCCTGATGGCACTCACCCATCCAGTCTCAGGCGGAGCCTGGGCCACGGCAAGCCGCTCCCTGGGGAGCCCCCGGCACTCTCCATGTGCAGGGAGAGCTGCTGTGCTTGGTGGGGTGGGGGATAGGGGAAGAGTCGCTTCCAGAATGAAGTCAGGCCTTGCCTGTTAGTGACCCTCCACTCATTGAAGTCACCCCTTTTGTTGTTTTTAATACATTTTATTGATTTCAGAGAGGAAGAGAGAGGGAGAGAGAGAAACATCAATGATGAGAGAGAATCACTGAACAAATGCCTCCTGCACCCCCTCCCCCCACTGGGGATCGAGCTCACAACCCGCATGTGCCTTCCGGACCTAGGCCAGTGGTCAACAAACGCATTAGTCAACAGAGCCAAACATCAGCAGTACAATGATTGAAATTTCTTTTTTGAGAGCCACATTTTTAAAACAAACTTCTTACGCCACTTCTTCAAAATAGGGGTCTTACCCTGCCTGGCGCTCGGCCCGCGGGTGGTGGGGTGTTCAGTTGTAAAGACTGAGGTCGAAGCCAGGGTCCAGGACAGAGAGATCAGCCACACCCAGGCCTCGCTCCCGTCCCATGCTCTTCCTCGTCCCGCACTGAGCACTCTCTCTCGGGCTCTGTCCACACCCTGATGGGCAGAAGAAATGTTTAAAATGTCCTTGAGAATCAACAGAGTGAGTTAAAAATAGGTCCCAGTCCCTTACACCCACCCCTTCCTGGCCCGGGGGGTCCATCGCTGTGGGTGTATTTGATACAAGTGTTGCTTCTGGGAATGAAATCAAGACCTTGGCCATCGTACCACCTTTTCTTAGAATATGCAGTTCTGAACCCAAGTTTGCTCTTTTGGCATCTCCTGGGCTCGGTTTAATTTGTGGGGTTCCGTCTTGATTCTTCGATAGAAGGATACTCCCTGAAAGAGCGATTGTGCTGCTTGGGAATGGGACTGCTGTTTGGTGCCACGGGGAATCTGATAGCCTGATTTCAGCTCCGATAAGCTGCTTCGGTAACTCGGAACGCTCACTGTTTCCATTGTTTTGCAGGGCTGGTGTGGAGGTGCTGTTTAATGAGTTGGAGATTCCTGTGGAAGAGTATTCCTTCGGCCGATCCAAGATATTCATCCGGAACCCGAGAACGGTATGCCGCCGAAACCTTTCCACTCCGAACGGACGTCGTCATCACGGGGACGGGTCCTCAAAGTCCGTCTTCTTGGGGACGTGACCCCCGATGCTGCCAAGAACGCCCCGTCCTCATTTTATCTCGAATGCCCAAGAGGAGGGACAAGTGCGGGGTCATGGCAGAAGCGCGTGTGTTTCCAACACCTTTGATCGGACAAGGCCATGCAGGAGAGAAATCACAAAGAACCTGTTCCTGCAACGATACCTCGCTAATTCGTAGGAATTGGAGATAAACTCAGTCTGCGTCTGTAATGTCTGCATTATTTAACAATTTAAGGAAAGGCAGCCCTGTTATGTAGAAGTACATGAAGGCACTCAAGAATTTTTTTTAAGTTAAAAAGAGACACTTAAAATTCTACCCAGTAGGACTCTAAGGAAGGCTTCGTGAATGAATAGACAGGGACAGAGTACAGTCCGTATAACAGTTGATTGGCGATTTGGAAATCTGGAGAATTTGGAATGGGTTGCAGATTTTTTTATTTTTAATATATTTTATTGATTTTTTTTTTTTTACAGAGAGGCAGGGCGAGGGATAGAGAGTTAGAAACATTGATGAAACAGAAACATCAGTCAGCTGCCTCTTGCACACCCACTACTAGGGATGTGCCCGCAACCAAGGTACATGCCCTTGACCACAATGGGACCTTTCAGTCTGCAGGCCAACGCTCTATCCACTGAGCCAAACTGGTTTTGGCAAGGGTTGCAGATGTTTAAGAGGAACGAGGCCAGCTCCTCTCTGACTGATAAATGCACCCTCCTGGGTGGTGGGTGTGCAGGCACACCTGAGCTGCGCTCAGCCCTCCCCTGATTCCTCCCAAGTGTCTCGTCTCCAGAATCTGAATGGCGGTGTCAAGGTGCTGTTTGAATTCAGTGCTGCGTGAATTCGTCAGAATCGTTTCCCCGTGGGCTGTGGGCCTTGGTGTCTGTCATGAAGACAGTTTCTTCTCAGCGCGGTGGCTTCCAGCATCGTGCCCTCTGGCCTCCCGAGAACCTCTGTCCGGGATGCCAGGGGTGTGTGCTGGGTCTGTGACGGGCCTGCCTCTTGTTTCCTTGCAGCTATTCAAGTTGGAGGACCTGCGGAAGCAGCGGCTGGAGGACCTGGCCACACTCATCCAGAAGATCTACCGCGGGTGGAAGTGCCGCACGCACTTCCTGCTGATGCGCAAGAGCCAGATCGTGGTGGCCGCCTGGTTCCGGAGATACGCCGTGAGTCCCGCACCCAGCTGCCGCGTGTGCCTCACGTGTTCTGTGCATGCCCTTGCCCCGTGCCTGACTCTCCCAGCGAGCCCGTGAAACACGTGCCTCTGTGGTCCCTTTAGACTTAGTTTTTAATTTTCTTGAATCCTCACCCAAGGCTATTTCCCCAGGGATTTTTAGGGAGAGTGGAAGAGAGAGGGAAAGACAAAGGGAAATATCGATGTGAGAGAAACACACTGATGGGTGGTCTCCTGCACGAGCCCCAAGCAGGGCCTGGGCCAGGGAGGAGCCTGCAACTCAGGTGTGTGCCCTTGACTGGAATCAAACCCGGGACCCTTCAGTCAGCAGGCTGATACTCTACCCACTGAGCCAAACCAGCTAGGGCTCTGGTTCCTTTGTAAAGACGAGAAAACGACGGCATGACCCGTTAGGGAGCTTGTCCACGGTCACCCTGCTGCCGAGTGGCCGTGATGCGATTGGAATGCAGGACGTCTTCCGTCAGCTCAAGTTCCATGTGTCAGAGCGCCTCCCACTGGGGGAGATAGGGTGGGACGTCCCCCTCTCGAACGTGGTCGCGGACCGAAGGAGACTGTGTCCTTTAACCCCTGGGCAGTGGGAGAGTCAGCGTTTTCAAAACCATTGGTTCTTCTCCATTTACTGTAGCAGCGCTGACAGCGGCTTTAATTCCAGAAAGCGGAGGCCACATGTTGGTAGAGTTTGGGGTTTGGCTAAAGGGTTGGTCTTCTTTTTTTTTTTTTTAATATATATATATATATTTTTTGATATTTTACAGAGAGGAGGAACAGAGAGAGATAGAGAGCTAGAAACGTCGATGAGAGAGAAATATCGGACCAGCTGCCTCTTGCACACCCCCCACCGGGGATGTGCCCACAACCAATGTACATGCCCTTGACCAGAATCAAACCTGGGACCTTTCAGTCCGCAGACCGATGCTCTACCACTGAGCCAAACCGGTTTCGGCAGGGTTGGCCTTCTTTAGTTCTCAGACACTTGGCCCTTCCTGCTGGTGGTGGGTCTCGCGTGGCTGCTGCTGGGAGCTCTTTGCCTGGGAAGTGCAGCACTGAGAGGGGTGTGGGGTGTGGTTTGGGGTTGTTGTGTGTTTCGGTATCTTTACATGTTGGTTTCCGGGAGGCACATGGGTGACCAAGAAGCAGTAGCACCAAGTGAGCAACCCACGCTTTCTCCCGTGGTCATCCGAATAAATAATACAATGAACGATAACATGGGAAGGCACCGTTCTGCGTGCTCAGTGCCGCACGCCTGCTTCCGCCCGCCCCCGTGTGTGCTAACACCTCCCCTCCCTCCTACAGCAACAGAAGCGGTACCAGCAGACAAAGCGCTCGGCTCTGGTGATCCAGTCGTACATCCGGGGCTGGAAGGTGAGTGACAGGGATGGGCCTTCTTTACTTGGGGCCTTGGGGTCCCTGCAGGGGGTCCCTCTTGCCTGCTGCCTGTGCCCTACACTGCCAGGCGGGAGGATAGATACTGGCCAGCTGGGGCCCTGGTGGCCCAGTCTGGGCTGCTTCCTCCTCACTGGCTTTCTCTTCCAGAGCTTTGTTCTCGGAGCAGGAAGTCCTTGAACTAATTTTGTGCGTGATCTCAACATCCTCTCGCCCTGCTGGCGAGGGCGGCGGTGTGTAGTCCAGGCTGCCCCAGGGGGCCCTCACCTGTGCACCACCACCACCACCCCCCAGACCTCCCTCTTCCGGCCCCCTGCCGCCTCTCACTTCCTGGCCATCATCTTTCTGCTGCCCTGTAATGCACGCATGGTCAGGAGGTCCTGAGCTCTGGCCGTTCGAGCGGGGAGAGTGGGTAACAGTGGGGCACCTCCTTGGTCTGGAGGTGAGCAAACTACGGGGCACAGGTAGCCTAATGGTTATCGCAGGGCCAGGAAGTAAAGAAAGGTTTTGATGTTTTTAAAGCATTGTTAGAAGACAAAGAAGACAGTTTCATGTAAAAAATGATATGAAATGCAAATTTCCTATAACAAAGGCAGATGTGAACCGCAGAGTTCGTGCACGTAAAGCTTGGTGCCGTCGACCACGCCCACTCTGTCTGCCTCCTGTCTGCGGCTGCCTTCGCACTGCAGTGGGGTGCTGATGAGTGGTCATGTGACCTGCAAAGCCCAACATGCTCGCCCGGCAGGCCTTCTGCGGAAAGTGTTGCTGACCCCACTCGGGGTCAGAGGTACTCAGGCCTGTGCTGACCCTGTCCTGTCGGAGGTTGTGTGGATTGGGCTGAACCTGGAGCCACTACTTCAAGATGCCTGGAACCTCTTCAGAGCAGAGGCCTGGACTCATATGAGCATAACCAACGAACACACACAATACACCGGGAGGCGAAGAGAGGTCAATGGGGAAAAGGGGGGCATAAGTAATACTTTCTTTTTTTAAAATATGTTTTTAGAGAGGAAGGAAGAGGAGGAGAGAGATAGAAACACCAACGATGAGAGCGAATAATTGATGGGCTGCCTCCTGAACTCCCCACACTAGGGATCCAGCCTGTGACCCAGCCATGTGCCCTTGACCGGAATTGAACCTGGAACCCTACAGTCCGGAGGCCGACGCTCCCTCTGCCCTCTGCTGAGCCAAACTGACTAGGGCTGTGATACTTTCAACAATAAGGAATTTTAAAAAAAAGGACATGGGCCCGTGGGCCAGGCGTCTAACGAGCTTTGTCTGGGCCCACGAACATCCTCAGGACGTAGTCCTCCCTCAGCAAATGCCAGAGACCAAATCCGAGCCTGTAGCCCAAGTGCTGTGGCCGCCGGCAGATGGGTCTTTGGCCTCATTACGGAGCCCTGGGTGGGGTCTCCAGCCCAGCGACATCGGGGGCAGGACACAGGGCCCACCTCCAGCCAGGCCTCCTGCCTCCACAAGATCAGTTTCCAGCAACTGCTGGAGAGAAGCGTTTTTGGACGTGAGAATTTCATATTAGCACATCTTTAAACGTTGCTTGAATTAAAACTATAGCTACAGTTACGTCCTCCGATGACGACAATACGGAAAGCGATGGAACGGATTTGGGGGGGTTGTTGGGGATCCTGCAGCCTCAGTGTGAGTCCTGCTCGTTCTGTCTGCTGTGTGCCAGCTTGTCTGGCTGTGGCCCGGTTTTCCCCATCCCACACACAGGCGTGTGAGGCTGCTGTCCCAGGCTCACTGGGCGCTACCCTGTTGGGCTGGATGTGTTTTCACTTAGGAATTCTCATCGTCCATTTTGGGCTAATTAGCAGCGTCCCCTTTTATTTATATGCTAGAGGCCCAGTGCATGAATTCGTGTGCCAGGAGCCCTCTTTGTGACCTGGCCACTCCACACCTGCTGCCCAGAGGCCCTCCACGGCTGGGGTGGGAACACTTGCCTCAGCATCATGGCAAGGAAGCAAGCATTCCGCCAAACCAGTCATGCTGCCCACTCTCAGCAGCTGCCCCCCGAAATTGGGGGAGTCTGGCGGGGCTGAGAGGATTGGGCACCGCCATCCTTGTGATGGTTAATTTGCATATTACCCTCTTATTATATAGGACTAGAAGCCTGGTGCATGACATTCATGCACTGGGAGGCTGGGGGAGGGTTTCCCTCAGCCCGGTCTGCACCCTCTTGCATGCAGTCTGGGATCACTGAGGGGTCCTTAGTACTGCCACGGAGGCGGGAGAGGCTTGCACCACCACCACTGTGCTCACCATCCTTGAGCCTGGCTTCTGGTTGAGCAGCATTCCCCCTGTGGGAGCGCACTGACTACCAGAGGGCAGCTTCTGCCCCCTGGTGGTCAGTGTGCATCATAGTGACTGGTCATTTTGCTGTTTGGTCAATTTGCATATTAGCCTTTTATTAGATAGGATGTTTATCCTCTCTAATAAAAAAGTAATATGCAGGGGAGAACCAAGATGGCGGCCTAGGTAAGCACCTAAGCTGCCCCCTTGCACAACAATTACAAAAATAACAGCTAAAATCAGAACGGACTTCATCCAAAAACACAGGAAAGCTGGTGGCGGAGTGGGAAATCTACAACAGAAAGAAGGAGAGAGGCTCATGAATCAGATTGGAAGCTGCAAAGTGCTGAGGTAGGGAGACACTCGTGCGCAGAGAGGAAGTGCCGCCGTATGGCTGGCTGGCGGGAGGGGAAAGGAGTTCCTGATTGCACTAAACCCTTTCCAACTGTACTGAACCCCAACCCTGGCTGAAACCCCATGAACCCAGGCTCATATGGTTGGAGTCTGGACTGTAGAGAAAGGCACCCAGAGATTCAGAGACTGGGAGAGCCGGGAGCCGTAGAGGGCAGTGTCTACAGTTGCACTCGCAGAGGTCTGACCAGGGAGGTTGCTGCTGCCTTTCCATGTCGGAAGGAGTCAGAAGCTTCAGACTACAGAGACCCATCCCAATTCCAGGCGAGCCCCTGGGGCACCCACGCTCTTGCATGGGGAATCTGAGATGGTCAGGCAGAAACTCAGGGTAACCGCGGAAGGCAGAGGTCAGGCGGAAACTCAGGCAAGCGCACATGGGCCGGGCTGACGGCAAGCCAAGACTGTCAGCTCAGCTCTGAGACTCCGCCCCATCCAAGCCTTCTGCAATTTTGCAAGTCTGATCCTATAAGACTGTCTCCAATACAGAAGGTATCCCAGAGTAGACACAGCTGATACCCACAGCCAATTGGCCTGCAGGTCAGTTCCTCCCAGGGATACCAACAACAATAAAGGCTTAGCTACAACAAGGCTGTACACGCAGTCCATAAAGGGGAGCACCAAGAGTGTTTACCTCAGGTAACTGAGGAGGCTGACCCACTGAGCCATATAGGACACCAAACACACAAAGCCATCCTACCAACTCTGGGAAGTAGCAGAAATGCCGAGACAAGGAAATAGATCTCAAACGAAAGAGATGGAGGAGAACAAAAGGCTGGATATAGAGTTCAAAACCACGGTTATAAGGTTTTTCAAGAATTTCCTATAAAAGGCCAATAAGTTTATTGAGACTCAACTAGAAATTAAACATAAACTGACTGAAATAAAAAATTTTATACAGAGATCCAACAACAGACCAGAGGATCACATGAATCAAGTCAAAGATTTGGAATACAAAGAGCCAAAGGATACTCCTCTGGAGAAGCAAGAAGAAAAGAGAATCCAGAAAGTTAAAGATAGTGTAAGGAGCCTCTGGGACAACTTCAAGCATACCAACATCAGAATTATGGGGGTGCCAGAAGAAGAGAGAGTGCAAGATACTGAAAACATATTTGAAGAAATAATATCAGAAAACTTCCCCCACCTGGCGAAGGAAATAGACTTACAAGTACAGGAAACATACAGAATCCCAAACAAGAGGAATCCAAAGAGGAACACACCAAGACATCATAATTAAAATGCCAAGGGCAAAAGACAAAAAGAGGATCTTATAAGCAGCAAGAGAAAAGCAGTTGGTTACCTATAAGGGAGCACCCATACGACTATCAGCTGATTTCTCAACAGAAACTATGCAGACCAGAAGGGAGTGGCAAGAAATATTCAAAGTGATGAATAGCAAGAACTTACAACCAAGATTACTGTATCCAGCAAAGTTATTCAGAATTGAAGGACAAATAGTTTCACAGGTAAGAAAAAGTTAAAGGAGTTCATCATCATCAAATCAGTATTATATGAAATCCTGAAAGGTATTATTTAAGAAGAGGAAGAAGATCAAGTGAATTAAAAATCCGAGGAACAGAATAAACTGAATATAATAGAATCAGGGTCAAAAAAAGGGAGTGGATTGATAATTATCAGGAGGAAAGGGGTGTGGGGGTGCAGACAGAGACTGGATTAAAATTGTACACCTATGGATGAGGACAATGGCGGTGGGGGAGGGTAAGGGCAGAGGTTGGGGCGAGAACTGGGTGGAAGGGAGATATGAGGGGGGAAAAAGGAGAAACAATTGTAATAATCTGAGTGATAAAGATTTTTAAAAAAGTAATATGCAAATTGACTCATTCCAAGACACAAGATGGCTGTTGCCATGTGATCAGAGATGGCTGTCTTCATGTAGACACAAGATGGCTGCCACAAGGTAGCCAGCAGGGGAGGGCAGTTGTGGGCAATTAGGAGTGACCACACCAGCAGAGGTGGGCAGCTTTGAGGGGGCAGGCCTACAGAAAAGGGCAGTTGAGGAGGGCCAGGCCTGCAGGGAAGGGCAGTTGGGGGAGACCAGACCAGTTAGGGGCCATCTGGGAGCACTTAGGCATCGATCAGGCTGGCAGGGGAGTGGTTAGGGGGTGATCAGGCTGGCAGGTAGAAGCAGTTAGGGGCAATCAGGCAGAGGCAGGGGAGTGGTTGGGAGCCAGCAGTCCTGGATTGTGAGAAGGATGTCCAACTGCCTGTTTAGGCCTGATCCCACCAGGACAGTTGGACACCCCTCAAGAGGTCCCAGATTGGAGAGGGTGCAGGCTGGGCTGAGGGACAAACTCCCCCACCCTCAACCCCCGTGCATGAATTTCGTGCACCAGGCCTCCAGCATATATATATATATATATATATATATATATATATATATATATATATATCATATAGAGAGATAGGTATACATATAGTGTGTGTGTGTGTGTGTATATATATATATATATATATATATATGACATATAGAGAGATAGGTATACATATTACTGATTTCAAACAAGAAGGGAGAGGGAGAGAGATAGAAGCATCAGTGATGAGAGCCATGGATTGGCTGCCTCCTGCACACCCTCTCCTGAGGACCAACCCACACTCTGCATATGTGCCCTGACTGGGAATTGAACCGCGACCTCTTGGTTCACAGGTCGACGCCGACCACTGAGCCGTCCCGCCGCCAGGTGCCCCTTTCCCTTTCCTCTAAGCTGTGGGTCCTCCATGCGAGGAGTGGGTTCTGCGGTCTCTCCGGGTTTTCTCAGGTCACCGCGGCTCCCATTGCTGGCTAACCGTGTGTTCTCCCGGCTGATTCTGCACCGCAGGCCCGGAAGATCTTGCGGGAGCTGAGGCACCAGAAGCGCTGCGAGGAGGCCGCCACCACCATCGCGGCGTACTGGCACGGGACGCAGGTGGGCCGGCCGCCCGCCACGGCGGGCTCGGGGCGTGCAGAGCTGGGGCCCCCCTCCTGGGGCAGGACCGTTCCGGCTGAGCTGAGCACGCTCTGCCTCCGCGCTCTCTGCCGCTCGCTGGGTGCAGGAGGGGGGGCGGGTGGCACGCGCGCTGGCGATGACCGTGTGGCGGTGACGGTGTCTGTCTGCCCTCCTTCTCCGTCGGACACCCGCGGCCGCCTTTCCCGCCTCACGCGCTCTGTCACTCCTTGTCACACGCTTGCAGGCGCGGAGGGAGCTGAGCCGGCTGAAGGCGGAGGCTAGGAATAAGCACGCTATTGCCGTGATCTGGGCTTTCTGGCTCGGAGCTAAGGTACTGACGCGCATCGCGTCCCCCGGCCTGGGGTGGGCCGTCGTCAGCCCGCGGCACTCGCATGGCAGGGTGGATGACTGCGGCAGCAGGGCGCGCGCAGTGCGCGTCCCCGCGGCTGGCGTGCGCGGGCAGGAGCCGTGGGGGGCATCAGTGCCGGGCCAGCTGCCGCATGCATAGATAGGCTAACGGGACTGTGCTTACTAACGAGGGGCTAGGGTAGCTGCTGATTCATTAAAACTCTTCGGGGGCTTGCATGTTTGGTTTTTCCGTTTCCCCCTTCCCCCTGCCCTGCCATGTACCGGCCTCTCTCTGGAGGTATCCCACGGGGCGGGGGGTGGGCGGCGAGGGGCATGTGGAGAATGGTCGGATTTGGGCCTCCGTGGAGCTGCTGCTACCACATGTGGACGGCAGAAACCCCTTAACGCATGCCTTGGAGCCGTGGTCGGCAAACTGCGGCTCTCAAGCCACATGCGGCTCTTTGGCCCCTTGAGGGTGGCTCTTCCACAAAATACCACGGCCTGAGCGAGTCTATGTTGAAGAAGTGGCGTTAGAAGAAGTTTAAGTTTAAAAAAATGTGGCTCTCCAAAGAAATATCAATCGTTGTCCTATGGATATTTGGCTCTGCTGACTAGTGAGTTTGCCGACCACTGGCCTAGAGTGTATTAATCCGTGAAGGAGGCGATGTTCCAGGCGTATGGGGCCGCCCTTGGTTACCCTAAGCCAGATACTCTGTGTGCAAAGAATGGCCTTCTGTGATTTCACGGGAAGCCACGTCCACACAGAGCCAGCTGGGATGGCCACGGAAGAATCCCAGGCATTTCCGCACCAGCTGTTTGTTTTCCGAAACGAAGGCCTCTGGGGGCCCTCGCTGATCCCCAGGCAGCGTCCTGGGCGCTGTGAACATTTTACGTGCCCCAAGGGGCCGGGTCTTTAGAATATTGGTTCCTCGGGGGATCAGAGGTCGGCCCTGCTAAAAATGGGAGCCACGTAGCAGCACAGTCTTGGGTATGTAAGTCACCTTCGCAGCGTGGTAAGCCCATCTCTGGGGGAAAAGCGAGAGGGGACATTTGCCCGCAGAACGGTCTTACTTGGCCACAACCTCCCCGAAGTAGTTCGTGTGTGTTTCCTCTTGGAAATCGGTGGAGAGCGCACTAGTCTCTTTATCTTAAAAAAAAAAACTATATATTTTCATTGATTTCAGAGAGGAAGGGAGAAGGGGAAAGAGAGAGAAACATCAACAGGGAGAGAGAATCATTTGATCTGCTGCCTCCTGCATGCCCCCCTGCTCGGGATGGAGCCTGCAACCTGGACATGTGCCCCTGACTGGAATCAAACCTGGGACCCTTCAGTTCGCAGGCTGATGCTCAACCACTGAGCCACACCAGCTGAGGCGAGGCTGGTCCCTTGAGCAAACAGGGGGACAGAGTCCTAGCAGAGGCAGAGGGACGCGGAGGTTGTGAGCGTGTGCCCGGTCTGCCCCACAAGGCAGCGTGAAGCCAGTGCCCGGGTATTCCTGCCCTTTCACATCACGTGCCTCCGATGAGCGTTCCCCTGAGATTGACTTTTAAACCTACAGATTGTTGCACTTTTTATCTCAGTCTATTTCCCCATTTGGGGCCTTTGCTGAGATTACATTTTGATTGCATGCTACTTTCCGTTTTCTATCCGGGCAGAATTTTGAGGGAGGAACAACCTTTATTCTTCGCATTTTCAGTGGTTGCCTTTTTACACATCCGATCGCATGGCCCCGGGGCTCCCCCCCTCAGCCCCTGGGCTGGCAGCAAAGGCCAGTGTCCCCGAGTTCTTAGGAGCCACGCAGAGCCCCAGGCTGTGTGGAGGGAGGGGGAACGGGGGAAAGGCAAAGGATGGAAGTTAGGGGTGCAGGAGTGCTACCTCAGGGCCACGCAGGCTGTCCTCCCCTGGGACTGTCTCTGCACGGAAAATAGCAGGCCGGCCAGCCAGACGCCGAGCCTGTGGGTGTGTGGGCCTGCCTGCAGGGCCCTCTGCTCCCTGGACCCCTTGCTCCTGGCGGCCGCTGTGGTTGGTCTCCTCCTGGGCGTGTGCTGTCTGCCTCTGGCTGTCTCTCTCACTCTCCGTCTGAAACCTTCCAGGCTCGGAGGGAGCTGAAGCGCTTGAAGGAGGAGGCTAGGCGCAAGCATGCGGTCGCTGTCATTTGGGCTTACTGGCTTGGACTGAAGGTACTGCCTCCCCTCCTCTCCGTCCGGGCGGCGCGGGGCCTCGCACTCGCTAACCGAGAGCTCACGGCTCTGCACTGGCTCCCGCGGGCCATCTTGCTGAATGGTGTTTCCTTTGGAAGACAAAGCTGTACACTAAAGTTTTCTGATCTTGTTGTGATGTATGTCTTTATTTCTTTTTATTATTGTTCCTCATCCTCCCCCAAGGATGTGTTTCCATTGGTTGCTAGAGAGAGTGGAAGGGAGGGAGGAGGAGAGAGAAACATCCATGTGAGAGAGACACATTGATGGGTTGCCTCTCGCACCTGCTCGGTCCGGGGCTGGGGACCCTGCAACCGGGGTGCGTGCCCTTGACTGGGAATCTGATCCACGATCCTTTGGTCCAGTGGCCGAGGCTCCCACCACAGAGCCACACCGGCTGGCGCTGGGGTGTGTTTCTTTAAGTACGAGGTTTTAAAATAATGCCAGGGCAGCACACTTTATTTAAGACTCTTTGTTAGGAAGTTCTGTTTTATGTCATCTTTAGGAGGATGACATGTGTTGTTGTGTGTTTTTTTTAAATTCGTGAGACAGAATTTCAGCAGCTGAGCTGGAAGCTGGCCCAGGTCTGCAGTGCCCGCCCAGCTCGGGTGGAGGGGGGCAGGGCAGAATCTCGCTCTGATGCCCTTCCCCCACCTCCCCTGCTCTGATGGCTGCTGGGCGGAGCCTTCTCTAAGTGACTGTCAGTCTAGTTGCTCAGCATAGGAACCAGAGGATTCTGCTCACAGGTACAGATTTTGACAAATACGAGGACTTTACACGCCAGTGAGGCTTCTAATGTATTTCCAAGCGGTGCTTCCCACTTTAGGTGAGGATGCACGCAGGCAAATGAGACTCTGAGCTCTGGAAAACCTTTAGACATTATAAGGGTTTTGTCTTTCTTTTTTTTTTCTTGTTTAAGCCTCACCCGAGGCTATGTTTATTGATTTCAGAGAGAGAGGAAGAGGGAGGAGAGAGAGAAATCTTGGTTGCCTCCCTTACGCGCCCCAGTCAGGGATCAAACCCACAACCTAGGTGTGTGCCCTGACTGGCAATCAAACCTGCAACCTCGCCGAAACTGGTTTGGCTCAGTGGTAGAGCGTTGGTCTGCGGACTGAAAGGTCCCAGGTTCAATTCCGGTCAAGGGCATGTACAATGGTTGTGGGCACATCCCCGGTAGGGGGTATGCAAGAGGCAGCTGGTCGATGTTTCTCTCTCATCGACGTTTCTAGCTCTCTATCCCTCTCTCCTCCTCTCTGTAAAAAATCAATAAAAAAATATATATATTAAAAAAAAAAACAGAAAAGGAAAAAAAAAAAAAAACCTGCAACCTCTTATGGTGTACAGCCGCTCCAGCCGACCGAGCACCTGGTCAGGACAGGCTTTGGTCTAACCTTCAGCAGCTTGTCCCCCTTGGGAGCCATCCAGATGTCTTAGGTCCCTTTTGATTCCTCTTCGTTATTTTTACTTGAGTATTAATACAGTTCATCTTTTTCTAAATAGTTGAGTATGATTCAGAAACCATTGGCCTTGACTCTGAATAGTATTAGCAGTATCCACAACCTCTGCTTTGAATAATCTGCACTTTCCCTGCGAGTTTTAGCATATAGACTTTTAGTAAATTCACCTTCTTGATTGATTACATTGAATATTTATCAACGAATTTTTAAAGTAATGAAGGAACTTTAAAGATCTTTTGTTTGAAGAATTCTGAACCAGATCTATAGCTACTTTCTAAATAAAATCAAACGAAGGATTTCATTTCCCATTTTACTCACCTGTTCCAATTTGCATCCTAAAAACCATAGGAATGGAGCAAACCCCACCAGGCAGGATTTTTACCTCCGTGAGGATTGCTACCAGCACGCCATGGTTATCTTCAGTTTTCTGGGTTTAACTAACTGGGTGTGATTTAAAAAATACTTGCACGTTAGGAGCATGTGCTCGCTGCCTAGAAACCGGATTCAGTGTGTGGGCGAACCCTGTTTTAGCTGAAGGTACCTGGGCTGGACATAACCGTCTTTTTTCCCCCCAGATCCTATCAATACAGAAGCATTTCATGTTACCATTTTTAGAAGGTTAAGTTTCTCTGAAGTCCTAAAGTGCAGTTCTTTTATACATTTTACTGTAAAGAAGGATGTTGGTAACAGCAGTAGTTTTGCCCCATAGATGACGTGATTTGTGTGGAATTAATGACCAAGGTCAGCGGGCCCCGTAGGACCCCGTGACCCCATGAAGGGAACTGAGTCTGTGTGTCAGCCTGTGGTCTCAGGCTTCCTCTGCGTGGCTGTCACTTGGGGAGGAGGGCCTGTCCTGTGAGTCTCAGGAAGCACGTTGCAGTGAGCTCAGCTACACGGATGATCACTAGAGTCGGGCTTATATGTCCAAGGATATGTGTTCCCGAAACCTCACTTTAACCTTAAAGTCCCTGCATTCCTGCGCTGCTATAATTTCAGGAGCCATTTTCCTTGTCCTTGTCCCCTGTAAGTTTGAGGTTTGAAATGGTTACGAATCTGGCAACTCCACAGCCGAAAGGGAAATGAGCATCAGTCACGGAGACGAGGACGACTTGCCTACATTGTATGGGGAGGGTGTTCACACCTCATTGCTGTGCAGGCATGGAGAGGGGCCTGGCCCTCACATCCCCACAGGGACCAGGCTGGCCCCCGGGGCAAGAGACGGGGAGGGGGGGCGGGGGGGGGCGGGGAGTAGCCACTGGGGCCTCTGGCAGCTTGGAGCGTGCGTTTCCCTTCTGAGGGCAGCGAGCACTACTCAGGGCCACCCCGTCCTCATCACATGGGGATGGCCCGCTGTGGCTGGATCTGAGGACATTGGTCAGAGAAGCTTGCCATCTGAGCTCCTGTGTGAAGTCCTCATTTTAAAGACACATGTGAAACACTTTTCTACAATCTGAATTTGGTGAGCAGATTGCTCTTTCCTGGTGGAGAAATAGCGTAAGCCTACAGTTAAACCCAGAAAACTAGAAGCGAAAGGTACCTATCGTGCCTGAATGATTCAAGTTGGCTAATATCTTGCGAAAGCCTAACTCTCCCATTTATAGCTTAATGATAATAAATAGTTTATTTTCCCCTCAATTTCAAAATTTAACTGCATTGTTCATGCATTCAGCAAACGCCTGGCGCCGGTGTCTTGTTATACTGTAGCATACAGCATGAATACAGCGGGTAGCCAGCGGGAAATGGCTGTGAGGCGATGTCTTCAGCACAGCAGCAGTAACCCGGGGGAAGATGGGTAGGAGTGGGGATGAGAGGAGAATCATTGCAGTTAGATGGAAGACAGTGCTAGTTCAAATCTAATTCTGTTCTTATTTTTAGTACACTCCCATTTCCAACTTCGTATGCATGGCTTTTGGAAACGGCAGTGTAGTTCTTCAGGCCTTTTTCCCCCCCTTTTAAGAGCAATTCCAAATGAAAATCGCCTTCTGTCATCTTTTCCTGAAGCATGCTCTGGTCTGGGACGCATTTGCCGCTACAAAAGGGCCTGTAAGATGTTTCTCATCGAATCATCAGGTTTCTGAGCAGTTAGTTAAAAGGGTTTAAAATACCGCCGCAAACGCTGGGCACTGCCACGGGGCAGGTCTGCATTCCTCTGCCTCTGACCTGGCTCCGGGCTCGGTGTGCGCCCGCCGTCCCCCTCCCTCCAGAGGCACCTGCTCCCCGCTCACCCCGCTCACCGCCATCTGCTTCCCCCTCAGGTGCGCCGGGAGTACCGGAAGTTCTTCAGAGCCAACGCAGGGAAGAAAATATACGAGTTCACGATCCAGAGGATTGTAAGTCTGCCTTCTGCCCAGGCTCCTGGGCACCGTGGGCCACACGTTGACACACCAGCCGTCACAGGCGCCTCCCGTGCCACGCTCCGTCTTCGTGGTCACACTGAGCCAGTGGCTTCTCCCTCCCCTCGCACCCAGCAGCACTGTCCCGGGAGAGCTGTCCGCGGCCCACGTGTAGTTAATAGAATGTCATTGCTTAAATCACAAGTGTCAAACACAAGGCCCTCGGGCCAAATCCGTCCCGCCAGGCCTTGCAATGTGGCCCGCACCGCGCTGTCATCACTGCACTCCGCTGCGTTTCCATCACAATGACAGTTTATGACTGTTCAGTAAACCATTCGGCCCGCGATTTAGGCTGGATTTTAGATTTTGGCCCCTTCTCTGATTGAGTTCGACACCCCTAGCTTAAATAAAAAGTTATTTGACGGGAGAACACACGTTGGGGGAACTCGAGCCGGGAAAGTTGGGTGTTGTAGTGCAGGCTGCTCTGACCACAGCCCTGCTGACCGGGCGGCTGGAAGGGTCAGCATCTGCTTCTCGCAGACCTGGAGGCGGGCACCGAGGGAGATGGGCACCGAGGGCAGGTGGGCACCGAGGGTCGCTAGGCAGGCTGTCGGCTGTGGCAATGGCAGCAGTGAGGAGAGGGAAGCCGCTCTCTTCCGTCCCTTCTGATCAGGGTGCAAGGCTCGTCACGGGAGCTCTAGCCTCGTGGCCTTTGGCCTTTAAACTTCATTACCTCCAGAGGCCCCGACTCCTGATGCCTTCCTGTTGGGGAGTAGGGTTTCAGTGTGGGGATTTGGGGATACTGTGCTGCCCTGAGCTGCCTCAGCCAGGCCGGCCACCGAGCCGTGGGAGCGGGAGCAGGAGAGAAGGCTCTGGCAGGCCCCAGCCGACCAGATGGGCCTGGCGTCCCTGTGCTGTCGGAGGTGAGCGCAGTGAGCAGGGCGAGCTCTGGGCCGTGGGCCCCACCTCTCACGGGGTGCGGGGTGAGCGAGCGCCTCACTCCGGGGCCTCGGTTCGTTCTTGGGGGGATCATGGCGCTGAGCTCGTGGGTGCTGGAGGTTCACTCGGGGTAAAGGCCTGACACCCTCCGCGCCAGCCCTGCTGGAGGACCGGCAGGCAATGCCGTCCACGGGCCTGGAAGGGTGCAGATGGCTTATGTCTGCAGTGCTGTGGGCCGCCACCCCCGCATGGCCACACAGGGCTCTGGAGCCCTCGGAGTGCCACCTGTGACTGAGGAGCCAGCTTATTTACTTTGTTTGGTTTTAGTTGAAATTTAAGTAGCGCTAGCCACGTGAGAGCACAGCCCTCTGGTGTTAGCTGGAGTCGACATTCCTGTTTCTATTAGGACTAGCGGCCTGGTACACGAAGTTTGTGCACCCTTTCCAATCTGGGACATCCCTCTCACAATCTGGGACTGCTGGCTCCCAACCACTCACCCGCCTGCCCGCCTGATCACCCCCTAACCACTCCCCTGCCAGCCTGGTCAACAACTAACTGCTCCTCTGCTGGCCCAATCGCCCCCAACTGCCCTCCTCTGCTGGCCTGATCACCCCTATTGCCCTCCCCTGTGGCCTGATAGCCCACAACTGCCCTACCCTGTCAGCCACCTTATGGTGGCTATCTTTGACTACGTGAGGCAGCCATCTTGTGCAAGGGCATGAGGGTAAATTTGCATATTACCTCTTTATTACATGGGACGACTGTCCGTGTTCTTCCTTCGTCTTAACTGGTGGGTGGGGCTCTGATTCCCGCAGCCCCCATGGGGAAGGGACCGAGAGAGACGTCACGGTCCAGAGTTCCCAGGCCTGACACTTGCCAGTCCCGGCAGAGGCTGCTGTTTGATCTGATTTGTGAAAAACAAGGACATTTCTGGTATTTCACTCACCTGGCATCTCCCTTCAAACCTGACACAGATGCAGAAGTACTTCTTGGAGATGAAAAGCAAGATGCCCTCCTTGTCTCCCATTGACAAGAACTGGCCGCCCAGGCCTTTCCTGTTCCTGGATTCCACTCACAAGGAGCTGAAAAGGATCTTCCACTTGTGGAGGGTAAAAAACATCTTCTTTTTGGAGACTCCTTACCACATTCTCTGTGTGTGAGAAGTGAATGTCTGCCACCTCTTCCTCTAGCCTGGAGGGGACTGTTGGAAGATGGGGGCGGAGGGCGGGTATTTTATTTTCTCGCCCGGGACCGCGCGTGGCAGGTGTGCCCGGGGTCTCCTTTTGTCCAGGGAAGGGGTGTGCGTGGCTGTGTCGTCTTTCCCATTCAGATCCCACTTGCCTTTTTGTTTTGTTTTGTTTTCATCCTCTCTGAAGGAATGATACTATAGGACAGTGGTCGGCAAACTCATTAGTCAGCAGAGCCAAATACCAACAGTACAACGACTAAAGTTTCTTTTGAGAGCCACATTTTTTAAGCTTAAACTTCTTCTAACCCCACTTATTCAAAACAGACTCGCCCAGGCTGTGGTATTTTGCGGAAGAGCCACACTCAAGGGGCCAGAGAGCCACAGTTCGCCGACCAGGGCTGTAGGAGAAAGGAATAATAACACGAACTTCTTCGCACGATGCGGGTCAACCCTGTCTGTCTGCTCTGAGTTTACGTGGTGGTTTTCCTCCTGCGAGTCTCCAGGAGGGTGGCGGCCTCGGGACTGGGGGCGGCAGGGACTGCCGTCGCAATGAGCAGATGGTGAGAGGCCAGGCCGCCCAAGGACCCTCGTGTGTGTGGAGAGAGTGTCCCCAGCCGGCACTGTGAGCAGAGGAAAGGACAGGGAAGGCCACACCGATGCTCTTACATGCAGAGTTTATCCACATTTATTCTTGCCGTATTAAATGGGCTTACTACATGTGAGGATGAAGAATGACCTATTTGTGCATGGGATGTCTTACGTTTTCTTCTCTTGTCTTCTTGTCCTGCAGTGTAAAAAGTACCGGGACCAGTTCACAGACCAGCAGAAGCTTATCTACGAAGAGAAGCTGGAAGCCAGCGAGCTCTTCAAAGACAAGAAGGCGCTGTACCCATCGAGGTATGGGGGCTGTGCTTCCCTCACAGCGGTCAGCATTTCAAAAATGTCTCAGATACGTGCAGGTCTTTTCTAGTAGAGGTTTCGGTGCTCCATGAGAGCTTTTTTTAATTACATGCCTTACTTTATAAGCATATTTATGTAGAAATAACAAACGCTCTGGAGCAACGATCATTTCTTGCCTTTATTCCATTGGCATCAGCTCAAACACTTCACTAAACAATTAGAACTCACACCCGGCTGCTGTGGCTCAGTGGTTAGTGTCAGCCTGTGCACCTGAGGTCATGGTTTGACTCCAGGTCGGGGTACATGCCCTAGTTGGGGGCTCGGTCCCCAATAGGAGGTTTGCAGGAGGTAGACAATCCATGTTTTTCTCTCCTCCCTTTCTCTCTGACATTAATAAAAACATTTGAAAAATAATAATAATTAGAAGTCACTTTTTAAAATAAAAGTTGTGTAGGTTACTAAGATAAGTTTGCATTGTAAGTTCCTGTTTCCATAAGTTTCAGAGTCTGGCCCAATTTCTGTTGGCCATTTACCGTCATCACCATTCCAGTCTTCCTGCTTTATTTAATGAGCTGGGTCAGAATTCGTTTGTAAGAGCCATGAGAGAGCGAGCCAGCGTACACTTTCTGAGTACTGCACGGGCATGGCTTTCGAGGCCCGTGCAGCGAGTTCATTTCCTTGGTTGTAGACACCAACTACTCATTAAAGGAAGGCATAGGCATGGCAGGTTCGCCGAGTGAGTTCCTTTCCCTGATAAAGACGGCTCATCAGGTATTCCTACATCCCCCAAGTTCATAATTTCCCCCAAGAATTCCCATCTTCTGGCATTTATGAAGAAATAAATTGTACGGTTTCAAGCCAGATCTGTAACAACGTTTAGTTTCCCCCGAAGAATGGCCTAGAAATGTAAATGCATTACATGCTAAATGTACTCACATGCACTGCATGTGGTACACCTGTATTCTCTGTGTCTTCATGCACATTTGAAAGCGCTTCCTTTCAGAGGATTAAAAGATCCGAACTAGCCACACTCATTTGGTTTAGATGTTTGAAGGGACACAGTGTCCTGGGTGGGCTGGTCTGGCGGCTCGAAGCGGTATCTTCTAAGTCAAACACGGTGACTGGATCCCAGGTTGGCCAGGCGGCCTGCTGTACGCAGCGTATACAGGCGGGAGCACCGTCTCTCTGCTTTCTCCGGCAGCTAGTTTTATTCCGTTTCTTCTTTCTATTTTTAACATGTAGAGTAGCCTTTTTAATTAACATTCCCTGTGCATGACTCTTAACTAGAGGGAGGAAAATGCATTTTTAAGGAAACCAGTTCAAAGGCTCTTAGCACTCTTTATTATTAAGAACACATTTGAATGTGGACAGTAACAAAAATGTTAACGACGTCAAGACAAATTTGGGGGGTGGGGAGGCATCACCCACGGCAGTCGGGGTGAAGGGCAGCCCAGGGGCGTGGGCCTCTTCCGCCCGGGTGCCCCCTCCCTCGCCTCCACTGTGTGAAGCTCGGCCCACGGGTGCCGGCCTTGTCCGTCCTGGGAGCTGTGAGACTGACCGCCGACACGGATTGTTCTTCCCCAACCCTCCACCCACCACACAAGCCTTCAAAGTGGTATGTGCCCATTGCCAGAACTTTCCAACTCAGAATGCAGCCGAAGGGTTTTGTTGGTGTGCTTGTGTGTCTTTGAAGAAGCTGCCCTGAGCGTGTCCCCCATCAGGTCTCGAGGGAAATTGTGTCTCGGCGTATGTGCACGATCACGCCTCTTGTGGGAAGCACTCTGTCTGAGAGATAATTGCTCCGGTTCTATTGTAGATGCTTACGTGGCCACTTCTGTCATATAGGGACACCTCTTAGGAGGAGAGGCCTGTTTTTTCTTTCATGTGTTGCCTCTTGGAGTCAGAATTTCCTGATAATATCACCTGTTCTATAGTTTCCTTCTAAGACCTATGGCTCTGGCCCTACTCTCCCTAGAAAATTATTGATTGTCCTACTCTGCGAGAACATGGGCTTTTCCTTTGGATCAGGTGATGGCGATGTTTGTGCTCTGTGTTCTGTTGCTGCGTGTTATTTAAAGGGATTAATAAGCCCTTTGTGGGCAGCTGTTACCTTGATAGTCACGGATCAGAGGAGCTGCCTTTCCCTTCAGGTGAGGCCCTGCACTTGGGTCCTGGGTCTTTCCTGTGAGTGATTTTTACCTTGATTGTTCCATGCGATAAGATTTTTATCGAAGTCCTGCCTACCAAATGCCAGGATCACATCAAAACTATTTTTGAGCCCAGCCGGTGTTGCTCAGTGGTTGGGCATTGGTCCATGAACCAAGAGGTCACTGGTTCGATTCCCGGTCTGGGTATTTGCTCAGGTTGTGGGCTCGATCTCCAGTGGGGAGGTGTGCAATGATGTTTCTCTCTCATTGATGTTTCTATCTCTCCCTTTCCCTTCTTCTCTCTCTCTAAAAAAAAAAAAAAAAAAAAAAAAAAAAAAAAAAAAAAGTCAATAAAAACATTTAAATATATACACTGAGTGGCCAGATTATTATGTGTTCAGAGATCATAATAATCTGCCCACTTAGTGTATATATTTAAATGTTTTCTGTGTGTGTGTGTATTTGAAACCGGTTTAAGGCTCCATTTCCAACTTACATTAGTATTGAGGACAGATGCAAATACAACATATAAAACATATAAAATAAGTTTACTTTCTATGGAACTGCCTGACCCTCTTTGGAATCAGCTGCCTGTTGTCTTGTCCAGCAGTTCTTCCACCTGACCCCGTGTCTGATGGGAGGGATTTGGTTTTGTTCTTTCTTTTTAGTGTTGGCCAGCCATTCCAAGGGGCTTACCTGGAAATCAACAAGAACCCCAAGTATAAGAAGCTCAAAGATGCCATTGACGAAAAGATCATCATTGCTGAGGTCGTCAACAAAATCAACCGTGCAAACGGCAAGGTGAATGATCCCCTGTGGGCTGTGGGCCGCGTCTGTCAGCTGGGACATTCTCTGTCGTCTTCCCGAATGTTAAAATTTTCACTTCAGTCCTGACCAGTTTGGCTCAGTGGATAGGGCGTCGGCCTATGGACTCAAGGGTCCCAGGTTCGATTCTGGTCAAGGGCATGTACCTTGGTTGCAGGCACATCCCCAATAGGTATGCAGGAGGCAGCCGATCAATGTTTCTCTCTCATCGATGTTTCTAACTCTCTCTCCCTCTCCCTTCCTCTCTGTAAAATATCAATAAAATATATTTTTTAAATAAATAAAATTTGCACTTCACATTCCCAGCGGGGTGGCTGTGCAGGGCGATGTCGCGCCCCCCCCCCCCCCCCAACTTCCAGGTTCGGAGGCATTGTGCCTGTTGATGTACCAATTCACATTGGTCTGTGAATTAACATGCCTTGCCTGTGCTTTACGTGTTCTCGGTTCGCAGAGGCATGTTTGCTGAGGCATATTGGGGTGAAATATTGAATTTCTGCAAATAACGAATGCTTTACATTCGTTATTTGGCCTTAGGGCTCGTTTTCCATCGCCGGTTTTGCATCCTGTTTGTTTCCTTTCCTTCAGAGCACCTCCCGGATTTTCCTCTTAACCAACAACAACCTCCTCCTCGCCGATCAGAAGTCCGGCCAGATCAAGTCGGAGGTGCCCCTGGTGGACGTGACCAAAGTGTCCATGAGCTCGCAGAACGACGGCTTCTTCGCCATCCACCTCAAGGAGGTAAGGAGCCCCCGCCGGCCTGACCGAAAGGGTTCGGCCTCGGTCCGCTCTCTCGGCCATCGGGGGAACGTGCCCCGAACCCAAACGGTCCTGTTGCCGGAAGACTCCGTGCTCCTCTTCCTGACGGTGGGGTTTGGCTGCAGCCCCTCCGGGAGAGATTCTCAGGCTCCGGGTTTTCAGGAACTGAAGGAGCTGAATCGCTTAGCGACGTGCTGGCCGGAACCACCGTCTGACCGAGCTGCTCCGGTCTGCGCCCGTTGCGCTGGGCACCGCTTTGAGAATAAACGGGTGGGACTGTGAAGAGGTTTCAAACGCTGCTCCCTCCGGTCGTGTCATCCACACAAACCCACTTAGTAATTGTCTTGTTCATCTTCAGTCTCGGGGCTTTGGAGTGAGAATGTGACTGCAGTCATCTGCCTGAGAATTTGGACCTGGAGATAGTTTGTGTTCTGAGCTCTTAGCTGAACCAGGACCGTCCTGACTTGAACCCCTGGAGTCGGCCTCACTGACTTTGCCGTAACCTTGGCCAGGCCCATGAGTGTCCCGTGCCAACCTCATTCTCCTCCTCTTTATTTATTTTTATTTTTTAAATATATTTTATTGATTTTTCTCACAGAGAGGAAGGGAGAGGGATAGAGAGCTAAACACGTCGATGAGAGAAACATTGACCAGCTGCCTCTTGCACACCCCCTACCGGGGATGTGCCCGCAACCAAGGTACATGCCCTTGACTGGAATCGAACCTGGGACCTTTCAGTCCGCAGACCGACGCTCTACCCCTGAGCCAAACCGGTTTCGGCATTCTTCTCCTCTTTAAAACGGGAGAACAGCGGCACCTGTTTCGTAGTGTTGTTCTAGGATTAAATGTAAAGTGCTTCCCATAGGGCTTGCCACCCGGGAAACAGTCACCAAATAAACGGGCAGCAAACAGTCCTCACGTTCAGCGACACGTGTCTCACTAACAGTGGCCTCGCCAGCGGCGTCCGAACTTGAGACAATCCCATAGCCTCGTTCGGCCTGTTTCCTCGGCTGTGACTCTCAGCCTGGTGGAGGCATGGTCAGCCCGAGATGATCCTGAGCCCCGGCCGCCCCTAAAGGCAGCGCTGCTGCCCAGGCCACATCCCCGGTCAGCCAGGCCAGGGTCTCAGAGGGGCGCCAGCACCCCGTGTTTCAGACGCCCTCCAGGGGGGTCCCTCGCACAGCGAGCAGAGCCTCGGCCTGGGGCTGACTGTTGGCGATTGTTACAGCTCTGACTTCTTTAACCGAATCAACGGGGAGGGTTTAAGCAGCGCTTTGAGAGCGAGTTCCAGGTGAGGTCAGAGGTCGGACCTGCGTGTGGAAGCAGGTGACCAGGCGGGAGGCCAGCGAGTCTGCTTCCAGCCAGCTCCTGGGGACCCTGAGGGCGCCTCCGCCCATCCAACAGCTTTGGGGAGCTTGGGGTTACCTACGTGCGGGGAGCGGTGTGGGAGAAGTACTGCTTCTGTCGCCCGTTTACCGGAAGGATGCGCCCCAAACTGATGCTTACAGGACCGTGTGCTCGCTCAGCAGCCTGCGAGCTCTGCCTCCTGCGCCACCTCCTCACCGTCTGGCCCGCTTTGTCCTCCAGGGCTCCGAGGCGGCCAGCAAAGGGGACTTCCTCTTCAGCAGCGACCACCTGATCGAGATGGCCACCAAGCTCTACCGGACGACTCTCAGCCAGACCCGACAGAAGCTCAACATCGAGATTTCCGATGAGTACGTGCATGCGCTATGGCATACCCTGCGTGCTCCCGGCTGCCTTGTTTCGGGGACGGACGCGACCTGAGCTCACTCGTTGGTGCAGCCCCTGCTAGAGAGAGCCCAGTGTGTGTCTCATCATTCCAGATGATGGTGGGCAGGGAGCAACCGGGGGCCTCCTTCCTGCACCTCACCTCTAGTGGGAGAGGAAAGCATGCACCAATAGAATAACTTGGTGACGTGGCGTACGTTAGAGGGGGGAGCAGGTGAAGGGTCGGAGGTTGCTGGCTGTGGAGATCAGGAGGGTCTCATTTTAGTGACACTTGTGTTGAGGCTGGAATCCAGGGGGGGAGCCAGGCAGCAGTCCAGGGGTGGCCTTCCGGGGCGGCCGCAGGTGCAAAGGCCCTGAGATGGGGCAGGCCTGGATGCAGAGTGAGATGAGAGAGAGGCAGGCCCAGGTGGACTCGGGGACAGAGTGAGAGGAGAGAGAGGCAGGCCTGGGGTGGACTCGGGGACCAAGGGTGAGGAGAGAGAGGCAGGCCGGCCCTGTGGAGCTCGGGAGCGGAGCGGAGGAGCTGAGATTTCCCGGAAGAGGATGAAGCCGCAGTAGGTCTGGGGCGAGGGTGGGGCGTGATCCGATTTGTTGGTTTCAAAGCTCGCTCTGCCCGAGGTGTGGAGAGCGACTGTAGGGAGTCGAGAGTGGAGGCAGAGGAAGGAGCTGGGAGCTTCTCCAAGCTGTCCTCACTGAGGATGACGGGCAAGGAGGGTGTGGCTTAGGCTAGGGCTGTGGTCAGCAAACTACAGCTCACGAGCCACATGTGGCTCTCTGGTAGGGTGACCAGACGTCCCGCTTTTGGTGGGACAGTCCTGGTTTTTAACAATTTTAAAAAAATTGTCCTGCGGTGTTTTAAAAAAAGCCCCGATTTTTGGAAAGATTCAAAAATCGGGACTATCCCACCAAAAGCGGGACGTCTGGTCACCTTACTCTTTGGCCCCTTGAGTGTGGCTCTTCCACAAAATACCACAGCCTGGGAGAATCTATTTTGAAGAAGTGGCATTAGAAGAAGTTTAAGTTTAAAAAAACTTGGCTCTCAAAAGAAATGTCAGTCGTTGTCCTGTTGCTATTTGGCTCTGTGGACTAATGAGTTTGCCGACCACTGGGCTAGGTTGTGAGTGGGAGCTGTGAGCAATAGGTTTCAAGTGTAGTTTGAAGGGAAACAAGACCTTATTAATAGATTGGGAGTTAGGTTTTGAACCCAAATGGTGATAACCATTCACTGCAGTGCAGTAGAGGACACTGAAGAAAGAGGGGCTTGGGGGTGGGGGTAGCATGAAATAGAGTGGTGTACTGTGTTTTGTGTGTGTGGTTTTTTTTAAAATATATTTTATTGATTATTTTACAGACAGGAAGGGAGAGAGAGAGAGTTAGAAACATCAATGAGAGAGAATCATCGATCAGCTGCCTATTGCACACCCTCCACTGGGGATATGCCCGCAACCAAGGTACATGCCCTTGACCGGAATCGAACCCGAGACCCTTCAGTCCGCAGGTCCATGCTCTATCCACTGAGCCAAACCGGTTTCAGTGGTGTGCTGTGTTTTGATGCCTTTAGTTTCACGTGTTGATAACTAGTATTACAGAGTGAGCGTTTCATGTGGACAGGGGCCTGCTCTTGAAATTTACTTTTTTTTTTTTACATTAGGGCCCTAATTATAGAGACTTTTTTGCAGGCAGGTTGGAGTACTCCCTTCTCCCTCCCCAATTATTAAGTCTATCAATATGAGATCATTTGAATGAATTTGAGCCACCGTGTGGTTTGATACTTAATTTTTTTCGGTAGATTATTTACTTTCTGCTTATGTACTTTCCTCGAATTTATCATAATCCTTTGCACATAACCAGGTTGTTCAGGAAACGGTTTTATTTTCCTAGTTACGGTTTTGCCAGCCTGTTCTATTTCAGCTCTTTCTAGAAGTCTTTCTGTAGTAAATCCACACCCATTCCTACCCCTGTGTAAACCGAACATGGCCTCCTGGGTGTGTTGGCACTTACAGACCCTTAGTTCAGTGTCTGTTCTCATTTTGCACGAAGGATGGTGCCTGGATTGGATAGGAGATGGGCTGTTGTTTGTACTCTGCATTGGAAATGGCAGTGTGGACGAAATAACGCTCTCCTTATTGAGTCCTTTCCCACAGACTACTGAGGAAAAAGCTAAGGGCTAGTTGGAGTCCAGTCAATCATTGTTTTAAGCTGACGGAACCTGTTAGAGCAGCGGTCGCCCGCCTTTCGGACCTCACGGACCACCGGCGGTCTGCAGACCCCGGCTGGCGGCCGCTGTTCTGGAGCTCGATGCTCCCTTCGTTGACATCTGTGACTGGGGGTGCTGGGCTCTGGGTGGTGGCGGCAGGTCTGTACCCCCGTTCGGAGCCCCTCGGGCGGGGGTGGAGAGCCTGTGGTTGGCCGGCTGCGTGGACAGGATGGAGGCACAGAGGGCTTTATATCCCCACAGCCGGCTACACGGTTCCCTACTTTGAAATACACACTTTGGCGGGAAATAACAGCAGAGTGGGCAGGTGCGGCCAAGGCTGTGCGGGCAGACTGTGAACAGCCGAAGTTGAGAAGCCCTCGATGCTGGACCCTCCAACCCTCTTTCCCTGAAATCCGTTCCTTCCTTTGTTGATAACTGAGTAGGACCCCTTGCCCCACAGAAATAGAAAGGCATGGAAAGGAGCCCATTGTTCTTTCCGCTCGAGATCTGGAGCCACATGCGGCTCTTTGGCCTCTTGAGTGTGTGGCTCTTCCACAAAACACCACGGCCTGGGCGAGTCTATTGTGAAGAAGTGGCGTTAGAAGAAGTTTAAGTTTAAAAAACTTGGCTCTCCAAAGAAATGTCAATTGTTGTCCTGTTGCTATTTGGCTCTGTTGACTGATGAGTTTGCTGACTGCCGCCCTGGAGGGATGTGCTTAGGGCTGAGCCGGAGCTACAGCAGCGTGTGCCACCTGCTGATGGGGCCTGTGTACACAGAGCTGATGGACCCATGTTCACGGTGCTGATGGGAAGGAGAAGCGTGTCCAGATCAGGGTCTGTTGGAAAGCTGGAGCCACGGATCGCCAGTGTTCTGCGCCAACACTCACCTGCCTTGTCCTCCCCCAGGTTCCTGGTGCAGTTCCGACAGGACAAGGTGTGCGTGAAGTTCATCCAGGGCAACCAGAAGAACGGGAGCGTCCCCACGTGCAAGCGGAAAAACAACCGTCTCCTGGAAGTGGCGGTTCCTTAGCGGGCGCCCCCACCCCCGCCCCGCCCCCTCTGCGCGCATGGACTCGTTTCTTTGTAATAGTGCAATTTGGTTTGGTTTGGTTCGGGCTCATCATATGTTTGGGAATTGTCCAAGGCTGATACCATTAGAGCCCCTTGGCGAAATAAAAACACTCGACTAATCACTTTTTATTGAATCGTTTTAACCCTGAGGGCACACCTCCTGTGCGTGACCCCGGGACCGGACTGCAGTGGCGACTGTGTCCACAGCGTGTCCTCTGTTCAGTCCTCGAGTTAGATCTGTGCACCCCAAGCCCGCATATTACTCATACATCACTAACGCATCTAAGGATAGGGAGCGGTCTTAAGGACGGCTCGTTCACTCATCAGCTATTTATTGAAGGCCTCCTCGGCGAGACTCTGTGCTCGATGGTAGGGAACGTCAGTGGGAATTTTTGTTTGTTTGCTTTTAAGGCCGTGGCATCCTGGCTGATTGTGGGGGTTTTGTGGAGACCAGAACAGTCCCTGTTGCTGATGGGCAGCGTGATGCGGAAGCCCTGGTGTGGTTTCGACACTATGCCCTTCGAGAAGGGCTGGTCCTAGAAAGGAGAAATGTACAACTGGGTAACATGCCTCCGCGTGTGAAAAGAGGAAACTGACATTTGAACGGGACTTTTCATTGGTTTCGACCTCTTGTCATGGCTTAGGAAACAGTCATTCTTCCTTTAGGGGAAAAAAAAAATGACAGGAGCAGCTCAGTAAGGTTATATTTTCCATTTCTGGTAGACAGCATGTGTGATCCTACAGCATGGGCAGGGTGTTGTTTCACACAAATCTGAACAAATCCTTTCAACAGCTGACTAAAGGGAGGGCTGGGGTCCTTTCAGATGGCGGCAAACGTTCTGTATGATGTGCAATAAGCATCCAAGATCTTGGGGGGTTTTTTTTTGGAAAGTTTTATTTATAAAATACATTTTGTATGAGAGAGGTGACTGGTGCAGGGGGCATATTTTAATCAAGGATCAAAACTGTTCACTTGCAGAACTTCTTTTCTTTTTTCAAATTTACACTACAGACTCGTTTTGGAAGCTGCCTTTTAAACTTTGGAACCAAATTGTTTCCCATTTGGAGGATAATGTATATGCCACGGTCTGTTAAATAATAAAACTGTTCTAATCTGGTGCCATTTCCTGGGTCGCAGCTGTATTTTTGTATTCCGAGCTACTTTTCCTATGGTGTGTGTCAATACAGTGTCACACAGAAAGGCTTTCCCACCAGACATTCTGTGCTCTCTGTGTCGTTGAACTTCGCTTGTCTTAGAAACCAGAAACATCCATTGAGAGTATTTTCTGCAGGTTTTTTTTTTTTCTTTCTTTCTTTTTTGTGCCTGAAACTATTGCTTCCTTAAGATGTTCCCAGAAACCTCTGTGTGCATTGGTGCCGACACAGGAAGCAATTGCTTCCTTTGGTCTCCTCCAGCGTCTACCCAAAGGGCTAGGCTGATGATTCCTCAAACAGGTGAGTAGAAATTCGGAGCCTGGAGGTGTTTTTATTTTATTTTGTAATTTTATTGAATTGATTGGGGTGATATTGGTTAATAAAGTTATACAGGTTTCCGTACACAATTCTACAGTACATCTGCTGTACACTCTACTGTGTGTTCATGCCCAAAGTCAAGTCTCCTTCCATCACCATTTATGCCCCCTCTTCCCTCCACCCCCTCCCCACCCCTCTTCCCTTTGGTCATCCCCACACTGCTGTCTGCGTCTATGAGGTTTGTTGTTGTTTTGTGGTATTTTGTTGTTGGTTTTTGCTTAATTTCTTCATCTTCTTCACTCAGCCCTCCAGCCCCCTCCCCTCTAACAGCTGTCAGTCTGTCTCTGTGAGTCTGTTTCCATTCTGTTTATTTTGTGCATTAGATTCTACATTAAAAAAAAATTTTTTTTTTAATATTTAATATATCACGCCGGCCGGGTAGCTCACTTGGTTAGAGCATCATCTGGAAAACCACGGTTGTGGGTTGGATCCCTGTCAGGGCACAGACAGGAACCAATCAGTGGATGCAGAAATAAGCGGGACGGCACACAGATGTTTCTCTCTCTTCCCCTTCCTCTGCCTCTAAAACCAATAAGGAAAAAGAAACCAGCCTTTCAGGAAAGCGTAACTCTTGCATTCCCATTGTTCAAATGCCAGTAAGGCTAAGAAGAGGGAAGGTACACACTCTCCATCTCGCCCGTTCCCGCGCCCTCCCAGAAATCACCGTTGTGTTCCGTTGCCTTTGCGTTACTGTGTGCGAGCTTACCGGAGGAGACGAAAACACAGGCTCCTGGCTTCCTTCTCTTTAGTAGACAAAAGCGAGTGTGTTGTCGGCGTTACTCTGCCGTTCTCACTCTTCGTTCTGTTGGCAGGGCATAGACTCCCGTCGTCCGGATGCGCTGCTGTGTGGAGCCGGGCCCCTGCGGTCCTCACCGGGCTGTGCGCTGATGGAGGGGAGGGGCCTCTCCAGGGGCCTCCTTGTTCCAGGTCCCTGGCTCGTTGTTTGCGGATCGTGTGCAATGGCAGTTAGAGTGATATGTTTTTCAGCATTCGTTTCCTATAAAGCAGTGTTTCCCAAACTTCTCTCATGATGAGAATCACCTGGTGGCGTTGTTACACTACAGATTCCGGAATCCCAACTAAGAGGTGCTAGACTAGAATGTTTGGGAACATATAGGTAAAATTGTATACTTAACTTAGTGCTCTGTACAATTTTACCTATATGCTCCCCAAAATTCTAGTTTAGCACCTCTTTAGAGTAGGGATTCAGTAATCTAGTTTAACAACGCCACCAGGTGATTCTCACCATGAGAGAAGTTTGGGAAACACTGCTGTAGAGGAACCATTTAACCTCAAACTTTGGGGTAAGTATTCTGCTCGGATTTAAAAAGATCTCTACAAAGTGGTTTTAAGTGGGACTCCCTTGGCATACACATCCTGGTACATCGCCGCAGTATTCGGTGGTTTCGTCGGATCCTGAAATTCGCCCTGGGTGGGTTGTGACGAGCTTTGGTGGAAAGGTTTTCTGAGCTTCAGCGAGAAAGCTTTCTTATGGACCAGGGTGAGGCCTGCCTCCTCGAGGCCCCTAAACAAGGCAGCAGGGGGAGAGCACCCCCAGTGCCGCCGAGGGACTGTTCCTGGGCTTCGGGTGTCTGTAGAGACGCCCCCTTTCCTTTCCGGAGGGAGCAAGCCAGCAGTTAAGGGGAGGGTGCCCGCTGAGAGCAGTGACTTCGAGGTCTGCAGCGCGGAAGTGGAGTATGAACCCTGGTTCAGTCCCGAGGTGAGTGTTCGCCGCCCTCCAGAGGGACGTGGCCTTTGTTCTGTGGGAAGCCCTTCCCCTTCGCCGTCGGGGAAAGCAGGGCTCCATTGACCTCGCTGGACCTGAGGAGGGAGCCGCACGCTCCAGGGGACCCCGAAATGGCACCCAGGTCACCACCGCAAAGAAAACTCAAAAATTGTCGCAAACGAACAACAAACCACGCGGACCCCGGGGCCTGCTTCTGCCCCCACTGCCTGCCGATAGGCCATGGATCGACCTTGGCATTGCCCTGCTAGAGCCGGTGCACACCGGTGCTCCTAAGCTCTGAGCTTCCGTCACCAGCCTGCGTGGAGAGTTCAAATATCGGTGGCAGCTTTCCTGGCTACACAGGCCTGACTTGGTCGTGCAGCCCCTGGGGGAGCTTGTCGGCTACGCCACGTGCTCCCTGAGAGAACAGTCACTGGGAGCGATACTAAACTGGCCTGTGACCGTCGCCATGGCTGTGCCCTGCAGGAGACAGGTCACAGGCTTGCCTCACACGGCCTTGGGTAATACGTCAGATGCAGTATTCAGATGTAAGACCTTCAACTCGAGTTCAAAGACCGTGGCTGGTCCCCCCTGAGTCGGGTGTGTCTGCAATGGCGACGCACCAGGGCCCAGGATTCTGAGTGTCGGGCTCAGTCCCCCACGTTGAGCATTTGGCTAACGTCTGGGAGAATACGTGGCTTTTTATCACGCCGTTGGGAGACTCAGGGAGAACTAAGTTCCTGTAATTGAGTATACCGTATTTTTCGGACCATAAGACGCTCCGGACCATAAGACGCACCAGTTTTTAGAGAAGGGAAATGAAGAAAAAAAGATTCTGAAACAAATAGTGTCCTAAAATATTTTATGTGCATTAAAACCCAACATCACAGTCATAAACACATGTAATCAACCCTGTAAAGTAAACAGCAGCATTTAGAACCATTTTAGAGCCGGGCAAGCACACACAGAGCCGGGCAAGTAAAAAAACTTTTTTTTTTAAAGTATATGTGTAGGCTATATTTGGACCATAAGACGCAGGGACTTTTCCCCCCCACTTCTGGGGGGGGAAAAAGTGCGTCTTATGGTCCGAAAAATACGGTAATTAGGATCCTGAGAGCGGGGGTTTAACATTCCTTTAGGCTCCGGATAACGGACAACTGTGGTGGGCTTTTTACCTGCTCGTTTCCATGTAGAGGTGAGGCTTTGGGTTCTAAGGTGCTCCAGCAACCATCGTGCTGACAGTGGAGTTGTAGGGAAGGCCCAGTGAGTTCCTCCAGGTGTCCACTGAGGTGTCCCGGGCGGCATGGCGGTCAGCGCCTGTCTTTAAGCTGGGCATGGGGTTTCCCTGCTCTGCAGTTCTCAGGGTCACTCTGTCGATGACGGATCTTCCTGTGGGGAAAACAGCAGGTAGACTTCCCGTTTGTAGCTGGTGTTCCCCTCAGAGGGTCGGCTCTGTGGACCTCATGGCAGCAGGTCCCTCGTGGGCCCCCTCATCCCCGTCTGCAGTTGGCTCCGCGCCGGCCAGTGTGACCCCGCTGGCACCTTCTGCGGCCTCTCTGGCTCCCCTTCGGTGGCTGCTCCGTGGCTGCTCCGTGGCCGCTCCGTGGCCGTGGTTTGGAGTTGCTTTCCTCCAGGTCTTGGAATTGTTGGCCTCGCTCTCTGCGTTGGAGGTCGTTTCAGAGTCTGGAGTTAATCACCGTGCAGCCCAGCACCCCCTCCTTCCTCCTCCTCCTCCTCTTCCCCCTCCCGCAGCTGCTGCTGCTGCTGGCAGGGTGGCCACACCCGCTCAGTGCCATGCCAGTCAGCGGAATCTAACTTTGTAACCAAGGAAGAGGGTCTGGGAACTTAATTCCCTGTTTACCCGAAGGCCCGGCGGCGCTGAGAGGAAGAACTGCAGCCGCCCGCCACCTTCCCATCGTGCTTCGTCTGGAATGGTTTTGCTCCGGTTTTGAGATAATGGACAGAGAACGTCTGTAGTTTTAGGAGTGCAATATGATGACTTGATGTATGTGTATGTGTTATGAACATGATCGCCAGAATGAGTAGTCAAGAGCCATCAAGCCACATGATTACAATTTTCTCTTGTGATGAGAGCGTTAAAGATTACTCTCTTAGATCACTTCACTTATATATCCCCCTCCCCACCCCCACCTCACATCCACTTTTCTTTTTTCTTTTAGTCTTTGTTTGTTTTTCTATTCTTTCTCCCTCCATCTTTCTGTCCTTCCTTTCTCCCAGCAATTAATGTTTCTGGCATCTCCTTTTAAAAAATGTTTTCAACTTTGTTTTGATTGTTGTCACCATTACAGATGTCCCCACCCCACCCCCCAGCCCACCTCCACCCAGCCCCGCCCCCCTTCCCTCTGGCTGTCACCACACCGCTGTGTGTCTGTGGGTGATGTGTGTGTGCTTCGGCTAATCCTTCACCTTCTTCCATCCAGTCCCCTAACCCCTCCCTCTGACAGCTGTCATATGTTCCATGCGTCTATGCCTCCGTTTCTATTTCGTTCATCAGTTTATTTGGTTCATTAGATTCCACATGTTTTAATGATCTACACATCAGAAATGTACCTATGGCAGGATTTTTACAAAGTGAACACACCTGTGCAACTCGAACCCAAAACAAGGTACACCTCAAAGTTAGCTCCCAGAAATCCCTTCTTCCCAGTCATAATCCCCACAAAAGTAACTTTTCTAGTACCATTTGTTAACTTTGCTCCCTACTTATTATAGATATAATAGTAATAAAAGTGTAATATGCTAATTATACTGGATGTCCTTCCATACGAACTACCAGATGAAGCCAGGGCTGAGAGGGAAGCCCGGATGCCGGGTGCCAAAGGGAAGCTGGTGCCAGCAGCTGG